GCCCTCGCGAGCATGCAGATGTGCCGCAACACGACGTGGCATGGACTCTAGTAATGCCTGAAGAAGTACTTACGTTAATTGACACCATGAATCCTGCATGGCTCTCCATAAACTCGTAAGAGTACGAGAGGATGAAGATCTCTTCTGAACAGAAATTTGCAAGGCATCCCAAATATGCTCAATAATATTCATGTCTGGGGAGTTTGGTGACCACTGGAAGTGTTTAAATTCATTAGAGTGTTCCTAGAGCTACTCTGTAGCAATTTTGGACGTGTGGGTCGTGTTTCCTGCTAGAAACGTCCACGTCGCTCGGGATGTACAATGGACATGAATGGGTGCAGGAGAAGTGGACAGGATGCTACCGTACGTGTCATCGGTCAGAGTCGTATCTGGACGTATCAGGTATCCCTCATCACTCCAACTGTACACGCTCCATACTATTAAAGGACCTCCACCAGCTTGAACAGTCCCCTGTTGACATGCAGGGTCCGTGGATACATGAGGTTGTCGCCATACTCGTACACGCCTAGCCGCTCGAAATAATGTTAAACGAGACTCGTCAGACCAGACAATGTGTTTCCAGTAATCGACTGTCCAATGTCGGTGTTGACGGGCCCAGGCGAGGCGTAAAGCTTTGTGTCGTGCAGTCATCAAGGGTACAAGAGTGGACCTTTGGCTCTGAAACCCCATATCGATAATGTCTCGTTGAATGGTTCGCACGCTGACACTTGTTGATGGCTCAGCATTGAAATTTTCAGCAATTTACGGAATGGTTGCACTTCTGTCGCGTGTAATGACTCACCTCAGTCATAGGTCCCGTTCATGCAAGACCTTTTTGCGGCGATGCCGGAGGTGTGATGTTTTTTCCGGATTCCCCATATTCACGGTGCACTCCTGAAATGGTCATACGGGAAAATCATTGGGATACCATTGCTCTTGATCGAAGTTATACGAAATATATACCTAGGAACACAGATAAACATAAAACTAAAATCTGGAATTATTGCCTAAGGAAATATTAATAATGGGGTCAGATAAAGGTGTTGTATTTCACCTATACTTTTTAATCTATATCTAGATGATGCTGTGAGAGAACGGAAACAACAGATTATGAAACTTAATATAGAAGACAATTTTAAAGGAAAAAAAATATTAAAACTTTTATGTTTGCTGATGACCAGTTTTTAGTTGCAGATAAAGAAGATAATCTGCAAAGGGCACTATATGAACTATATAAAATAACAAAGCAATATAATCTAAGTATATCTACGAATAAAACCAAATCCATGGCATTTCAAGGCTCACAACCTTTAAGATGTAAATTCATATTAGAAAACAAAACTATTGAACAGGTTAATACCTTTAGATTTCTAGGATGTGACGTATCATATCTCGGCGAAGTTGATATTGTAAGGAAGATAGAAAGATTCAATATGATGTGTGGCACCATCAAAAGAGCGCTCAAAGGAAAGGTCCGTAAAGACACAATGCTAAAGTTTTACAAAGTTATGGCAGTGCCTTGCGGACTTTACGGAAGCGAAAACTGGACTATGAACTCCAGAACACACAGTAGACTTCAAGCAGCCGAGATGAGATTTTTAAGATCAGCCCAGGGAGTAACAAGAATGGACAGATTAAAAAACGAGACCATCCAGAAAAATATAGGAATTTACAACTTAAACGAAAAAAATAAGGAATACAGAGAACAATGGAAAACACATGGAAAGAATGGAAGGCGACCGTATTCCAAAGCAAGTGCTTCAGTACATCCCTAAAGGAAGAAGAAGCGTTGGTAGGCCCAGGAGAAGATGGTTAGATCAAGGAGGCGCAACGGACCAACCGGTCTAATGCTTGAGGGAGAAGAAGAAGAACAACAACAACAACAACTGTGACAGACCGGGTTTCTTATTGTTGCGACTGGAGCGCCGTATTCTGATTGGTTCCAGATCTCTTTATTTCAATACGCATGGCTGTACCAGATTTTTAGCTCTTCAGTATGTGTATATTAGTTATATATATTTTTCTTGAATATATGTAGTTTTCTATGCAATGGACAATTAAACACCAAAATGAACACATCGCATGACTGATTAACTCAATTAATGATTAAAAGTACGAGCAAATGAGCATGCGAATAATTAATTTTTTTCGTACCAGTTAACGCCCCTTAAATTCATTTCAGGTGAACCTAATTTTATCACAAAGAAACAATTTTTCTGGTGCGTTTGTTTTATTGATTTTTAGTCATTTTCGTAGAGGATGGAAATGGAGTAAAGCACCAGTAGAGGCAAAAAACACTTTCGTAGTTTCCTTAAAATTATTGGGCTACAGTACTAAATTCGTTTTGTGGCACTCAACCAATTTCTGAACAGATTGAATGTCAGAAATGAACAATTTTGGGTTTGTTGATTTTTTTTTCAAACTCAGATTTGGATCCAGAAGTGGCCATTTACAATCTTTGAAATTGTTAGAAACTTTACTTGGTGACACACTACTCTATCATTCCATTCTTCTTGTCTGCTAAAAGAATTGTCTGACTGTTAAAAGGGCTGCTGAGAGTAGTAAATTTGCCTCATATTATTGCTATATACGAGCATAACAACAGAATGATTTAATAAAACACCACAAAACGAAAACAAGGAACGAATTCGCCACTCTTGTCACCCGGAAAAAAATGTTCATACAAGACGAAATTTAGAAATAAAATAAGCATAATGAAGTAGAAAATAAAATAAACTTAATAGAAATATCAGGTGTTTGATAAAACAAATCAAACACCTTTTCATACGGAGCCACCATGCCCGCTTGAGCTTGAACTTGGTGAATTTGGAGGGGAAATGGGAGCGCAGTCAGGGGAAGTTACAGTGGTCGTAGAACAGCTGGGCTTCCCAAGCAGGCAAACTCGTGCGGGCGCTGTTGGTCATACCTGCAATATACAAAATTGGAAAAGCAATATATTTTCTCTATTCTTCTCCTCACTGCTAGAAGTAACTAGCTCGACGTTATGCAAGTTTGAAACAAATTGAAAACTTCAAATTTTTATATTTATGCGTGAAGTGGTCACTATTGGTGTATTTGCTATATAATAGTTTCCAGCCAGGTTCAAATATCACAATTGTTAACTCTCACACTGTACCACGAACCGTCACTGCTTCTTCTAATACATTTGGATTAAGCAAATTGTTGAACATTGGTCATACGAGTTTCGTAGAAGTACTGGATTTTGATTGCTCGATGACCTTGGGTTGACGACAAAATTTTAAACAAACAAAAATTATTTTATAAAAAAAAAAATCTTGAAGCGACGGCTGTGAGGTTTGATGCACGCGTCAAACGTAACGGCAATGCACTCAAAGCTGAACAATAAAGACAAACTCAATATTATCATTAGTAGTGGGCAGGCTTTGCGAACTTGTGGGTTTGCCAAACATCTGTGTAGGATGTGTTGTCTACCTATCTCCGTAGGTGATACCATTTGTCAATGTAAGTTTATTGTAGGAGATTTCCCTCTACATGTTCATTAACACAAAGTCATCATCTTCTACTCCAACTTAAATGCCTTCGACGTTTGTAACATTAATTCTGAATATGCGAGTATCGACACATCCTGCTGTGAAAATGACATAAAATATCGTGCAAATTATAGCCTTAGGAATATCTTTATATTCAATGTTTATACGTACATACGAATATATTTTACCAGCATGATGGTTATATTAATACTTTATTTATTTATCGTGATAAATTGTGTGTGACATTCTATGTCACACACAGTGAAAAACAGTTGACAGTTACAAAATGTATGTGACATAATATGGGAAATAATGCATTCTGTGCCCATTCTCCTACGTTCTTGAATCCCTACCCTAACCCGTACACAAGTGAAGTGTGCATACAAGTGGAAACGAACGTTTTATTTTCAAGAATTGAGAAGAAAATATTCGCTCATAGTAAGAAAAACTATCTGCAAAGACAAATCAGTTATAGATTTTGGCTCTTATCCCTCTTCGTGTCCTGTGTGAAGCAATCAACTTACTAATACAAAACATGGATAACGGTAATTTGAATAACTTTATTCCTAACTGAACTCTGGCAAACGTGCACAGATAGTGAAGTCATATTTATATTTAGAGTAGAGTAACAAAAAATGGGAATTCTTTATTACTTTACGAGCAAGTTTGGCTTGGCTTATACAATTATCTCTCGTTTTAATAACAAAAATTAACGATTTTTAAATGCATATTGCGTTACATTTGCGTACACGTTAAATTTAAAGTTAGTTATATACGTTGAATTTTATTAAATTTTAGAGTGTGTGTATATATATATATATATATATATATATATATATATATATATATATAACATATACTCCTATTTCTGTAATAAAACATTAAAATTCAATAAAATCCAAAGATTTTTATATATGACGTCAAATGTCACGTACACTTTTCTACTTACGTAACATATGAAATAGAATTAAATATCCAATTAAAATACGTTGGCAAAACCTTCTTAATTTAAGGTGTACATTTGTTAGGTACTCTTATTACAACTATAGGAAAAATCTGTGGGCTAAGACATCTCGCACAGACTATATAAAAGCCTTCGGCGATTTCCACAGAAAAACAAACGTAATAATAATATTGAATTAAAGAGACTATGTAATGAGAACACTTGCAAAAACAAAATTTGATATTTCAGTAAATTGATAGTTATTTTATAAAGCTTTTATTAAGAGGTGCAAAACAGACATTCGAAACTCTTAAAGTATACGTTAGATCTACGTATCTATGTTAAACACAAAACAGCTCAGTGCCAAACGGAAAATAACGAGATAGTGTATTTTACAATTACCAAAAAAAAACTATTAATATATTTATCTAAGTCACAATGTTCTGAAATATTGTGCCTCGACCATGACCGAAAGAACGGTTACATACACACGAGTGTCTATAACCGCAAGGGTCATCAGCGATACGGCTCAATGGTCGGGCGGCCTAGATTTCGAAGTCGTTGCCCAGGTCCCTCCTGAAGTAGCGGTCGAAGCGGCTGTCCTCCGTCATGGTGGGGTCGAGGAAGGGCATGTGCTCTGCTCGCACGCGCTTCTCCCTCTTGGCGGCTTCTGGCCCGTCGCCGGCGACGGCGCTGCTGGCTGCGACGGGGCTGGCCTTCAGCTTGGAGCGCAGGCGGCCGCCGTGGCCGTGGGCCTTGGCGTGGCGCAGCGCGCCGCCCTGGCCGCTGCGGTGCCCGGCGTGAGTGGGAGCCGCCTCGCCGCGCAAGCCCTCCTGTTCCCCGCCCTCGCCGGCGCCGAGGCTGCGGCGCGGCCGGAGGAAGGAGCGGTCGCCCAGGAGCACCTCTTCGCCCGCCCCCGCCCCCGCGCCCTCACCCTCGCCCTCGCCCAGCAGCGAGTCGGACAGCGGGGAGAAGAACGGGACCGCCCCGAAAGCCGCGGCGGACGGCGCCGTCCAGCGCTCCGCGGATTGGTCGGGTTTTAGTGCTGCTTCCCAAAGTTCCGAACGAGACGGGACCTTCTTTCTAGTCTTCACTGACTTCATGCCTTGCAACTCTTTCAAACTCGAAGGCGTGGCTTCTCGGTAAACGCCTTCAATACCTGAGAACCCGTGGTCTACGACCGCGTCGCTATCTTCCACAGGAATCTGAGTTTTCCATTGCAAAGGGTAGTTTTCAAAACCCTCAAAAACAAGGTCACTGAATGAGTTTCTTGTCTGATCCGCCTCGCTCTCTGGGGTGTGCGGCGTTCCCAGCAAAGGAGCAACTCTCAAAGGCGCGGACTGTGGAGTCTTCCGGTTGGAGAGGTTTTGCTGGGAGGAAGACGAAAGCTGCTCCCAGGGCGAGTTGGCTCTTCCCTTCTGCTCCTCACGAGGTTCCTTGTCCCTTAAGACGTCGATGGTTGGGGCTTTGTTCCGCCCCGTCTTCTGTTCTCCTCCGGCCTCCCCGTGGCTGGTGGCGGCGGAGGCGTCCAAGGCCTGCTGGACCGCTGCGCCACCGCCGCCGCCAACGCTTCGCTTGGAGCGAGTCGCGCGCATGAGCGCAGGCGCGCAGGTGGGCCTGCACGGCACTCTGCGCGAGAGCATTCTGGCCTGCTGCGCCACGCCCGCTTCCATATTCCCTTCATCCGCTTCATCCGCCGACGCCGCAGACTGAGCCTCATCGGCGCCCTGCGAACAACGGCCCGGTCTAAATGCAGCAAAGTTAATTCTGTGTCGTAAACAGGTTTGATTAAATAGTTGTTCCAGAGGCTCTTGAAAAATGAAATGAAATACAGACCATTGTTGTGGCAGTGGGTTGGGGCGAGCGAGGCAAGGAGTGATGAGGGGAACGGGGTGAAGTATGGTGAGAGAATAGTGGGAAGTGATGGGGAATGGTGGGAAGGGATTGGGCGTGGTGGGCCCGGGTGTAGTGGGACAGAGGTCCGGCGACGTTGAGCGGGGTAGAGAGGAGCCAAGCAGAATGGGATTGGGTGGGGTGCTATGGGAGGGGATGCGTTGGGACGGAGTTGGAAGAGGCAATTAGGAGGGAGTGGGGATGGATCAGGAGTGGGAAGCGGTGGGGATGGTGAGGGGCAGGCAGCTAGAGATGGGAGGGATCGGGAGGGGGAGGGAGGAGCGGCCAGGGCTAAGGAGTGATCGGGAGGGTGGGGATGGAAGGGGACTGGTATACAGGTGTGGGAAGTGTGGGGCTCGGGAGGGGTTGGGGTGCGCGAAGTGGAGGGAAGGGTGGGGTGAAGACGGGTATGGAGATGTGTGAAGGGATGGAAAGGGGCTAGACAATGATGCAATAGGATGGGGTCGCAAATCTATGCGAGATGAGACGAGTGAAATGGGGAGGGGCGGAGAGGGTTAATTCCACAAGATACATTAATTCCACAACTATCAAAAATGTGATATTTGATATTCAGCACTTTTTATAGCGTCTGGAGTAAATATTTTCAACACGACTACGCGTAGAAAACGAACTCAGTAAAACCCTTCTTCTCGTTCATCCGGTTTCAGAAACAAAGTAGCAGAGCTTGGAAACAAACGTCTATTTTATTTACCAAAACCGACGAGAAAGGGATTTGTCAAAAAGTGTTAATATATGATTGCAATAAATATCCGGGAAGTGTGGAGTAATTCAGCAAATAGCATAAATAAAACTACACACCAATGGAAAATATATATTTTGGGTATATTTTGAAACGTTTATTTGGAAAGAAATGAGAATATTATTGAATAAAAACTGGGACAATTGTTCTTACAGTTACTGCCTAGCTATTTTAATTTTCCCCTTAAAAAGACTCGAATAATTAACGCGACTCAATGCGAATTTTTCGTCCTACCTGCGTGTTCGGCGGGTTTGCCATAGCTAATTCTTGTTCTGTCATCGGCGCAGCCATCCCCATACGTTGAGCGCCAGCCATTCCGACAGCCATCGGGAACTTGGGGTACATCTTCATTTGATAAGCTAATTTGTCGAACCCCAGAGGGACACCGCTCATAGAATAAGGCATCGCTTTGTAGAACTGTTTCCAGAAGGGCAACTTCATGTTGTTGACAAACATGTTGGGCGCATAACCGGTCGGGTAAAAGGGAATACCCATGGGCAGTGCTCCGAAGCCGACAGGCGAAGGTTGCCCCCTGATGGCAGAGACTTCTGGCATCATCATCCGGCTGTTGATCTGCTGCGGCTCCGCCTTCTCTTCCGCCATCATACGCGACGTCGGCGCAGCCGGTTCGTCGGGACTCTCTTGGCGTTCGGAGGAGGAATTCACGTTGCGCTTACTCCGCTTACCCGCCTCTTCCGAAGGTCCTCCAACAGGATCGCTAGTCAGCATCGTGTCATTCTTCTGAATATCTTTTGCGAGTTTCAGGTTGGCAGTACTATCTGACGCTGGTTGTGGAGGAATTGACGGCACCTCTTGAGAAGATGGAAAGCTTTCAAGAGGATCGATTTTTGACCTATTTTCGGCTTTCTGCCCGCTGGAATTGAGCCCGTAGGCATCCATATCTTCCATGAATCTCTGTCGAACTCTACTCATTACATTTAAGACTCTGGAGATAAGGGGTAGCGCTGGGAATGACATTCCTGGATCGACGTTTGGGATGACCTCGATCTCTCTCAACGGCGACAGTGAATGCCGCGGGATGGCTCTGGAATTGGTTTGCAGCGGCACAAACGTGACGTCGATGTTCATCGAGTCGTCAGGAACAAGTTTGGGAAGGCGTTCGGAATTTATGCGTTGCACGCGGCTCACGACCGGTGGCGAGCCTTCGAAGGAGAAGCCTCTCACCATGAGAACTGCGTGGTCACCGCCGTCGTCAACGGCTTCGTCTTGGGCCGAAGGGTCTGCGCTTCTTAAAGTGAAGGGCCCGGGAAGCATCGCGAAGGGGCTGGAGAGGCGGGACGAGGCCAAGTGGTGCATCAAGGGCACGGCGTGCGCGAACCGGCGGAAGCTGCGAAAAGCGTCGCTCATCATGGATGCCTCACGCCCCTCGGGAGCGTCTTCGACTTCCACGGCGACCGCCGGCTTCTCCAGCGCACGCACTTCCTTTTTGCTGGCTGGGGTTGGAAGCTTCGATTGCAGAAGCGTTTGCATCTTCTTCTTAAACAGTCTTCTCCTCCTTGCTTCTTCTATCATCATTCTGTTCGCCGTTTTCACGAGATCTTCGAATTTACTGTCAGGATTCGCGTTGGCATTTGTGTTGATATCGATATCTTTTGAAGGGATGTCGTTACCTAGCTCTTCCGCTGTTTGGGTTTTAGTCGGCTTCGGACTTTCTGAAGATGAATTCTCCAACCATGGAACGGGCAACGCAAGAGGAAACGGGAAACCATGAGATATTGCCGGCTCCAAGTCGAAACGTAATTTCTCTAATAACTCTTTAGATTCCTTTGAAGATATCTTTATATCTTTTTCTTCATCCTTTACAGTTGTCGACTCTTGAAGTTCTATAGCTGAAGATCAACAAAAGGAACAGAAATAAGTCATGATTTTAAAGTCCATAAAATATGTTAACACTGCATTACTAGAACATATATTATTCAGGTATCTCAAAATAAATAATATAGCCTTCTACAGCCTGAAGGGAGTATTTTTGATAATAGACATATGGTGGTGCCGCATTTGCCTCTGATTGAGAAACAATTCATCGTGCACTGGCGTTTGTGAGGTACATGTTCTGACGCAAAGAGATTACGTGTACCTGACAGTTTAAGATAAGTTGCCTACTGACAAGGGCAAATGTCACAGGTGTAACTTCGTTTTGTGACATTTTACACCACACGATCATTGGCAAAAAGTTACATTTGTTCTCCCTCCAAGCCGTAGAAACTCAACATTTGTTAATGTACTGTGTTTAATAAAGAAATAAATAATGTATTTATGAGGTAAATTATTTATTTATTAGATAAATAATATGAATAATTAGTGTAGTAGTACAGTAAAACCTATATAAAGCGAAATCCTGCATTTGCCAGAAATCTCAGAACGGACTATTTTTCGATGGAAATTACACTGAATAAGCCGGAAACCTACCTACCACGGAAACGGAAAGGAATTTTTAGTACGATGGTATCAAAATTCTGGATAAGAAGGAAAACTAATATTATTTTAAAATTAAACATTCACTAGTGTGGCGAAATCGTACCTAGAGACAATCAGAGCTGTGCTCGTTCATTTTTTTCCTCAGCTACCCTCGTCCGAACATGGTATTTCCCACACAACTCGTGCCACAGTTTATTCGTAATAGTACTGGTCTGTGAAGGAAGGAGAGACGCGAAGAGCGATCCTTCTACAGTTCTTGTAATACGTGCTTTGTGCGGACTGGTTCTAAATGTTTGCCGTCATACGGTTTGAGTTGCAGGTATTGTGTTAATGAATAGTTTACGATGTTAGGTGGCAAATTGAAAATGTTATATCTTGATGAGAAAATTACACTAACTGAAGAACACGAACAACACTACACTTCTGACAGGGTTTTGATAAATAAATTTAAATCTGGAAAAATTCAGTTTTTGACACTTTAAAAACAAAGACAAAATCAAGAATGTGTTGTTAAAATAAATTTTTTATTGGTGTTTGCTAAAATTTTTAAGAGGACCTAGGCGAATGGCCGAAGCCTAAATCATCAGTTGAATTCATCTGTTCCTGCAAATATTGAAGAAAATAATATTTCGTTCACTTTTTATGGTGTTCTTTGATTCATTAGACTTCGTGATGTGTTTCTGTATGTTATTTTGTCTCTTCCGAGACATCTTTGCTCCTTTGTAATGTAGTTTTTAGGTGAGGTAATATACTCATATAACCTATTCCATCTTTGAACAATTGCATTTTCTGAATTGACAGTTTTTATTGCAAAGCTGAATAAGCCGAAAACTGTACAAGTCGGAAGAAAATGTTGGATACAAAGTATTCTGGCTTAGACGGGTTTTACTGTAGTAATATTATTATCAGCAGTTAGAATGATAGCTGGAAGTGAGAGAGATATTATTCTTAGGTATGAAGTTGGAAGAGTGAAGAAAGGATAATGGCAAATGAAGAATGGATAATGAAAAGAAAATGAAAAAGATTTTAACAAAATATACAGTGAAAAATAATAAGTGAAAAATATTTCATATGCAATTTGATAGCTGAAAACAAAATAGAAATCAAAACTTATTTTACATATTAGGTCGCGCTGTGCCAAAAACGTTTTGCAACATCTTTCAAGCAACAGTTTCGTGCAATGTCTAAATAAGAAATTTACCATTAAGAAGCTCAATTAAAACAGGCATGACAAAGGCTGGAGAATAGGTAATTAGTTTTCTGGTGAGTAGTCTTTTGCGTTCGCAGAGTACTTGGCACGAGATTAAAAGGTAAGGGTTGTTCAAAATGCTCCACGTTAGCGGTGCGTCACTGGATTCCTGTCCAATTAGAGTCTTTTGGAGAAGAGAGTTGGCAGTTATTTTCCCAATATTAATTTCCATTTCATCTACTAAAGCAAAGAAATGATCCACTAAAATGAGACGCATTAGTCACGTTTCTAACTGTCAATTGAGAGTAAAATTAACTTTGAATTGAAGGGACCTTGGCCTCGTAATAGCGTTTACTTAAGAGTGCAATAATTGCATTAATAACACACGATCAGGTTCGGAAATTTAACAAAGATCACTGTCCCTTGAAATAAATGAGATCTTGTAAAAGAGACTTGTTAATTCATTTTACATTATTGTTATATACGAAAAATAAGACAATTATTTAATAAAACAACACAAAGCAAAAACAAGCAACGAATTTGCCATTCAAACGTAATCCTGTTCCTTGGCAAAAATTATACTAGGCAGAATTTTAAAAGAAAATAAACATAAAATACAGTAACAAGTAGTAAAGTTATAATGAATTATTCAGTATCGGTTGTTTTGTAGAAAACATTAGTCAAAAAAATCGTCGTTCTTCGAGTAGGCTTTGCGCTTACGTTTCCCTCTTTAGCATGTACATCCCTTTCTGAATTTTGAGAGGAAATGGGAACGTATTCACGAGAAGTGGCTCGTACTCGTATGAGAGCCAGGCTTCCGAGCTAGGGACCTCGGTAGATACGGGATTAGCTTATAGGCCTCTGAACCCCCAGTACGCGAGTTCGGTCCCGGCCGAGGTGTCCGGATTTTCGAATGGCAGAAAATCCACAGCAGCCATGTCACACTTTTGGCATGTCAAAAAACCCTGGCGTTATGCCCGGCAAAATTAAATCCCTCCGACCACATCCCGCCCTAACGAGATCTCACTTTCCCCCAACCAGACAGCTTGGATGTAGTTAACTGAGACAGACTTCTGGCACAGAAAGTGAGAGTCAAATCCTGGCGCCTTTAGGGGATCGCCCGCGAGGTGCGCCTGCTCGATATAGGTCCCTAGACCCGCGTACGGGGTAGGTTTCCAATGACGCCTGGTTAGAAAAACAAGGGTGCGGAATAACTGCCGAAGGACAGTCTCCGCAAATAGTGTCATACGATAAATGAATTCCCAGCGAGGTAAGTAGCTTGTGCGACTTTCAATATTTTCGCGTACCCCGATGACCGGAGAATCCGGAAGACCAGACCTGCTCATCGCAGTGGCTTGTGGGGAGACCAAGAGCCGGCACCCTTCTTATGAGATCGGAAATTCGGCTGCGAGCTACTTTGTGTCGGGGAGGGGATGACATCACACAGTGGCTGGGGATTTGGTTTTTTGGTTACCAAAACTTGTCCCGAAGTTTTTCGAGGTGGAAATCTTAGAATTTTCCTACTAATAACAATACAAACAAAATAAAAAATAAAATCTTCTACCTCACCCTTGGAAAGGTAAAATAACTTGTCGACTACACTAAGGAAACAACAAAAATAGAGGTAATTTCGATTGTCATGCGTGATATGCAGAACCTCATAGCAAATTATGGAAAGCTATAATTTGTATATTATTCCTCGAAGTATGTCGTGCGCTGGCTCGGGTACCTGAAATATCATCCACACCACGCATCGGCGAGTGATTGATAATCCAACATTATGCGTTGCAACATAAAACTTTGGAAGATGGAACGCAGACACCTTTTGTAAAATACGCCATTGAAGCAAGTAAGAGGTGACAGGATGGTACGTTTTTTTAAGTTTAAATGTCACACACAAATTGAAGTCCACGATAAGTATAGGAGGCAACACGTAAACGAAAAATTGATATCTGCTAATGTGAAGAGAGATCAAGGAGAGGCTGAATGCCTTCAACTATGCTTATCTACACTTCACTTTGTCTTCAAAACTTTTTTATTTGTGGAAAGGAGATTTCACGAGACTGCAAAGAAACAAATCAAAATGCCTCCTTAAAATCGCAATCTAGTGTACCCTATGAGGAAATTAGCTGCTAGGTAGAAATCGTAATGATGATTTTTGGAAGTTCTATACAATATCACGCAAATACTAAATTACTTGTTACCTTTAATACACAGTATTACGAGGGTCACTACGGAAGTTTTGAGCTACACAAAAACTAAGAAACATTAAAAGAAAATATATGCATTTTGTAGGAAATTGTATCTACTTTAAATTTGTAAATAACAATTGTTTAGCAAAAACGCATAGTTTAGTTAAAACGCTTGTTGAAAATATAAGTGAAAGACTAAAAACGGGAAAATTTTTAGTTTTTTTACGATTTTCTCCATGATGTCGACCTTTCTTCAGGTGGCAAATGCGAATTCAGCACTCTCAAAAACATATAGAACCGCTGAGAACAAAACCTTTTTTCCAAAACAATCCAGAATTGTTGCCTGGATTGGCTCTTGTTGAGCACCATTCGATTGGATTATATCTAGAATTCGAAAAACTTAAAGAGTTGCTTACATGATTCTTTAACAAGTCTGCGGGTGCTTCATGCCCCATGTTGTCAAATGACGTAAATATCCAAAGAAAATAAAATAAAGATATTGACGTTTGATATATCATACATTGACATATAATGTTACGTGTTACTAATAATTCAGATGTATTAAATTTACATTTGCTATCATCCTATCAACTGCAGAAATGAAATTCAATATTAAGAGAAAAGACATCGTATGTGAAATAATGAAAACAATTAAATTAGAAAAGTTATTTACTCGTCGTTCCGGACGTTTTTGTGTTTATTCCGTACGTGTCAATAGTTATAAAAATATGAACAATTACTGAATTGAAATGTGTAGTAGTCGTCATGGGTACCATTTTACTTGACAAAATTTATAAAGAGATACTGCTGAGTAACCAGAATATTCTCAGTATGGTAATGTAATCTACAGCCCCTCTAACAATAGACTTCTCCACTTAAGAGATGAGAAAGGTCATACACCATGCTTTGATCTTCAAGGATATTCCCATTCATGTTGAATGGTTCTGGTAATCCTTCTCAATTAAATGCTAATCAGGACTTGTCTTAAATCTCTCTCGTATTTCAACTCTGAAGTACTGCATCATCCAAATGTAAGTACGGTAACGTTGCGGCTTTTGACACAACTTGTCGGTGTATTTATCATAGGTAATTCCACGAGTAATTTGGAATTTGTCGATAAATTTCCGACTCGCGAAGAAAGGAGGATTTATCTGAGAATTTTTAAAGCACGAGTGGTTTTTAATAGGACTATTACCCGAGTGAAAGTATGTCCAACAGACTTCCAAAATGCGCCGAATATTGAAAATAAATGAAAACGTATGTTAAAATCCGAAGTTATGTTGTAGTACATCCGTTGTTTATTGGACATCGACATAGTGATCGATATATAACACGTCCTAGGATAGATGAGTCACAGTTTATCATTGGCCAGTAGGTAGAAGCGGTAATAAAAATCGTATAAAAAGTGATTAAATTTTTGAGATACACCTCCCCGATTTGGGCATTTTGTATGTATAGTTAAAAACTGTTGGTTTTAATTTCACGAGTGGAATAGTCACAAGAATCTGTTAGCCAGGAAAAGAAATGAATTCTGTATTTATTGTAAAATGGGAGTTGTGGTACATACATCCTCGTCCCCGCGTCGACCTGCTACTTCAAGCTCCGCCCCACTCCGTTCTCTGCACCTCCCTTCCTGGACTTGCCTTGCATTGCACCATCTAGCATACTCGCGGATTGCACACTTTCCTTCTCTATCTTTATATGCTTTTATTGGAGATTTTACTGATGTTTTCGCAGTTATATTCACATTAATATACAGATATCACAAAAACGTTTTGGAATAAATATCTAAACTATGTTAAAAACGAATTAAAACCCAGTCGATAGTTCTTGTGTTTTTAGCGAAAATAAATAACACAAGTGAACGGGGATTTGTTTTAAGTATGAGTATTATAATATTATTTACTTATATTATAATTACTTAACTTGCGCATATTCGACAATCCTTACTTCTTTACGAGAATTTCGTTCCGGAGCCAATAAATAAAACACCTAAATCTTCAGTTTAAGAGCGTTTATTAAGGACACACCTCGAACATTATAACTCTAATTAATGAAAAAGCCTTCCTTTTCTCCTAGAATTACAAAATTTTAATACCAATTGATATGGCTTATTCCTTTTCACTTACAATTTGAAAACCAGGACCCTCTTTGAGTATGTTCAGCAATTCATTATAATAAGAGAAAATGTTTTATATTATGAAGCCTTTCTGAAGTGTGAAGAAAAAGTTTGCTTGGCTTATTAACACAATATAAAAGAGGAATAAAAAATAGTACGGTTTCGGAAGAGTGAATGATCCAAGCTTACAAAAATTTTAAAATTAGTGAAAATAAAAAATCAATTGAACATAAACTCAAGGTCTGCGATTGTGCTTCCCCTCCGTAATTACTCCTCCGAAAAGTGATACTGTCGTTAAAATTTGCTCACGTCACGTCTTTGAAGATACGTATATCCTGCTTAAAATAATTATTATGTTATTACGGTTGCGAATCGCGCTTCTGGCTAAACAAAAATCCGTGGGACCTAATGAAATTCCCAGAGAAATTATATTATTGGAAGAGGAATTCATGATTCCGTACCTTGCGAAAATTTTTGAAGCTATTATTAACAATGGTAAAGTCCTTGACAGGAAAAAGCTAGTGGTTCCTATTTACTAGGGTTAATATCGGTCATCATTGCCCAATTATAGACCGATCAGCTTAACGTTGGTAGTATGTTAACTGTTAGAACATTCAATTACCACTACTTGCGACATATTATATGGAACAAGAAAAGCTTCGTAGTTGAACAACACCAAGTGTGCTCGCAGTTTCAAGTTATTCGGCCAATAGGCCTCGTGTCACATTTCCTACTCGTAAAATAAAGTGTCACTTTTACTACTCGTACGAGTATCATAGTAGTTATTTATGTACCAAGGGCGTTAAGTAGATGTTTTGCCATGATGACAAAAATATATTGCTAAAAATTACGTACTATATATAACAAGGTCAAAGATCGCGCCTGTGTGTGTGTGTGTACGCGAGTATGAGTTTCTGTGTGCGTGTTGTACGAAGGATTCCTTAACCTACATTCCCTTGTAACCGCCATTTACAAGCAAATGAGAAAATAGATGGAGTTGATTATCGCCCGAATTAAAAGAGGCGTTTGGGTGTAAATATAGGTGTCTTGCATTTCACGATTGTGTAAGAAAATATCACGTGGTTCCACAGTGGACACGAAACAGCTGCACAAGTCATACTCTACGACTGAATTATCACTTTCTAGTTATTGTCAGCTATTAGACTACTTGAAATAGGGGAAATTATTCCCTGTCCTTCATACAAGCGAATAATCTTGATTTTACCGCACATGTTAAGGCGGCTTCACTCATTTGACAATCCCGAGCATATGATGTGTTTAGCGAATGTTCGCTTACTTTGATGTGATCAAAACCGACATGCGGTGGGTACGAGTAGTACGAACACCAACCGTTCGTCGTTAAGCGAATAGCAAGCAACACCATCCACATTTCTCGGAATTTAGCGGTGGCTCGCTCGCTACTCTCCGAATAGCGAATGCGTGGAGTCGCCTTTAGATCTATTATTTTTACCCGAATGTTTCAAATGTGCAAAATGTCTCAAATATGCAAGAGCAAAATATCTCAAATGAGCAAGCAACCCATTTATACTGTTCGTGCGCTCGCTCGCTACTCGCCGAATGCCTGAAACCGCCCCAATATACCATTATTTTCACCCGAATGCCTCGAATGTGCAAGGGCAAAATGTCTCAAATGTGCAAGGACAAAGTATCTCAAATGTGCAAGCAACCCATCCGTACTACTCCGGATTTTGCGAGCGCTCGCTCGCTACTCGCCGAATGCCTGGAACCGCCCCAATATACCATTATTTTCACCCGAATGCTTCGAATGTGCAAGGGCAAAATGTCTCAAATGTGCAAGGGCGAGCAATGACCGAGCGAGCGAGCGCCGACGCTATCGCGCCACTTGTCGGCCACGCCCTACGAGGAGCCCGCTCACCTGCGCAGAGCACCGCGCCCAGCGCGCCCACCAGCAGCAGCGCAGCGGTGCGCGCCATCACCGTGCACGCTCCACGCTCACGCTCGCACTCACACTCGCACTCACGCTCACACCCGCTCCCGCCCCCGCGCCTGCTGCTCCAACGCCGCGACACCGATCTGGATCCGCCGTCGCCGCAGGGGGGTCGTCCGTCTTCACACGCACCTCTTCGAAGACAGCTCCGTCTCCGTTCTCCGCCGGCCGCAGGACCTCCCCGTCCGCCCCCGCAGCCTGCGAAGTTCAGTAGCTCCCCCTCCCCCCTTCGCCTTCCCCCTCCTGCTCGCGTCCACCTAATCGTTTAGGCGCTTTTATGGCGAATGTCGAAACGACAATTCACTACGCATGACAGAACAATTCTGCCGTTGGGTTTGATAGCGCTGCCGGGCCGCTCATGTGGCGCAGTTGTTTTTCTCGGCGTTTTTCTCCTCCGGCCACCGCTGCGGCCCTTTACGACCGATAAAAATTGCATTTGTGGGACTTGGTAAGATTTGAAGACGCGTAGAAAGCTAGCCTAGAAGCCATAAAAGCACTTATTAATGCCGCCAAAATCAGTTTTGAAGTACGTGGGGTTCAAATGAAACAGCAAGAGGAGTTGGAATTGGGACAGGTCATTGACTGTTCGAGTACGAGTCCGTACGTATTCACTTGAGTAAGATATCAGAGGTCCTGGTTTTTATGAACGTACCGGAATCATCGCTCCGGTCTACATAGTGAGTTAGCGATAAAGAGTGTATTTGCAATAATGTAAGGAGATCAAATTACCGGCAAGTAGCATATTCATAGTACCCACAATAATACAAGTAGTAATTCGTTGATATTTAAATTCCTCTTTTAACAGAGGTTTCCTGGGGGAACAATTTCCTCTCCCTCGGATAGTTTCTTCATCCAGGAATCCTTCAGAAGAACTGTTTAGTTTAGAAGCTAGAGTGACATAAATTTTAAAATTTATGTTTCAAGTGCTCGAGACGGTTCCAAACACAAAAGTTGAATCAATTTTTGAAATATCGGCAGACTATGAATACAGCATCTTTGTTCATGCGACTATGCAATTGTAATAAACCCCAATCAAACAATCCATCTCGATGGGATTCCCCGGGAACTCTCCTCGTGACTCAGGGAAGGACTTAAGTAAAAAACAATATTAACACGAGAAATAAATCACAAAAATATAAAATGTGGGCTATATTTTAACGAAAATTATGACAACAAACGTACCTTCCAATAAGTTGAGAATGTATTCCAAAAATTAATATTTCAAATTTCAACCTACATCGAGAACTTTTAGGACGAAGGAAAACGATGACACTCGCCCTCATTTGGGAAAACTACTTCAATGTGCAACTGCATACTTCAATTTATCTCCAAATACCAGTGTTTGTGAGTTCCACACTCGTAAAGATAACGGTTCATGGAGGGCCGTTCCAACTCAGGTCGGAGTTTCGCGTGATTTTTTTTTTCTGAGCTTTTATGATACTCAGGCGTACGTCTTGCCTTACTCAAATGACAGTACTTCGATTTAGTTGGTTTTATGCACAGACAATTGAATACAAAGTAATACATTCAAATGAATTTAACTTTTTTAAGTAACACGTATTTTCTCGTGGTAGAAGTCGACACATGTATCACAGAATGGTAAGGATATTTGAAATGCTTATTATTAGGTTTAAATAGGCGTCTATAGACAGCAAGTGTTCATGATCTATTGTAATAGTATTGGCAATCCCTTTACCACGGTAAAAAAACGCAATTTGTGAGGGCTCATTGTTGAAAAATTAGTTAACTTTCACATGTTAGTTCATCTTCGGCGTTACCATGCTAACAACCAACTTAATAGGAGACCTGCGTAAGATACCATCTCTATGAAACTAGTGGTGCTGGAACATCACATACTTTTTCGCATTGTTTTTTCTGACTTTTGCAAGTTTCGAAAAATCAGGAATTTCAATGAAAATGAGACCTACACCTCTAAGCATCCTTTACGCTATTCGAGGACAAAGTTTCCTTAAGTGGCACGTTTGAGAAAAGTTCGAAAATGTTTTTGAGACTTACCTCCCAAAAGCAAAATATCCTTTTTTAAATTTAGAGAGCCTCGAGGCTATTCAAATCTATCGAAGAATATCAATTTTGGAGAAAACCGACTGCACAGTTTAAGCGCTAGCATTTACCACAGACAGACAGAGACACTGACGTACGGATGTTATGCCGTCAATCGATTTTTCGGTATCTAGAACCCACAAAACAAACGTGTTAGGTGAAGTAATCTACTATATAGAGGAACAACATTTATCCATTCAATCGTTACCAGGGACACTGAATAAGTTTTTCTGACAAAAATTTGCCGTTTTTGGGCGTACGAGTGAAATACTTTCTCTTCCTTTGAAGTAAGCGTGACAAAGTAATATATATTGCCTTTTAAGCAAAATATATGCTAAAACTACTAGCTTTTTCAAAAATTTAACATGACCAATTTTTAAAACAGATTGCAAAAAGAAAAAAATGCCCTACCAATTTGTACAGTTTTCTTCATCTGTCATATTTCATAAAACTGCTTGGCCTGTATATTATGTAATTCAGTGTCTTTAGGGTGACTTGAATGAAACGTTTGAAATAAAATTGGAAATGTTTTTGAAAAAATATCATGCGAGCGTTTTTGATTTTACTGCATGTAAAATTGCTTTAAAACTAATTTTGAAAGAATTGTACATTAAGTTCTAATTTTGAATCTTCTTGAGAAGAAAAATTCCTATTGGCAATTTTGTATTTAAAGGATTGACAATATTATGGTGTTGTTAACTGCATTTCATATATTTTTGTAAAAAAATCCTTTACCTTTTTGTACCACAAAGGGGCAACTCCCTTTAGATTAGGATACCATGACTATAATTCGCCAAAAGTATCTGTATGACAATATTTATCAACTCCGAATTGTGAGGACATTAGGAGTCTGTAAGAGAATTACTGTCGATGTTGATCAAGAACATGCTTATGCAAATAGAGAATTGCTAACTGCGCATTTTCTTTATCTGTTCATGTCTTAAGTGGTGTAACTTTGTTTAGTCCCTAGTACCGCGTATGTAACTGGAGAAAATTAATCAAACAATATGAACGTAGTATATACAATAAGATGACAGGTTCTATTTATAAGCCATCATCGACACAATGGGCTTCTTCTGGATAGAGAGTGACCCAGGAGTGCACCATAAGATTAAAAATGTAGAATTTTGTAAGTTATGCCACGAAGAAACCAGATGACACACATGTCCCCTGCATCACGCATCACGGTGCGGGATATCATCGTGCGTAATTATGACACGTTGCTTTCTATGCTCTTATAGCTCAATTTTCACATCCCCACTGGATCTCATGTTTAGTTTGTTATAACGGTATCTACACTACACAATGTTGACGTTTTGCCGGTCCGGATCGTCGAGATCGCTAAAGCAGTAGTGCAGTAGCGACCGACTCTCCGGACCAAAGGACCAAAGGATCTCGGGTTCGAGTTCCGTCTCGGGCATGTTTGTATTGTGTTCGTCCTTTCACCCCTATCATCGTCATATCGTGTCATCCTCACAGTTACCATACCGTTACACGCAATAATGGTCGCTAATAACCAAGAAGTTGATGTGACCGTAAATAACCAAATAAATGATAACGTTTTGACGGTTCTTTTAATTTTTGGAGGTCTTGCTCTTCTGTGTACATCCATTCAGTAGCATACGTAATAACACCCGTATATAATTTGAAAATCTGTGAATAATTAGTTTGACTAATTTAATCGGATTTTAAACATTTAACAATGTTAATGCAATTTTGTTAATAAACATAGCAATTTTAGTATGCGCATCCTCAGACAGTACACGGCTCAGGGTATAATGTGCAGTTCAGAGCCTGGCCGTTCGAAGTTGGTATTAAGCTCGTTTTACTTATAAACAACGGTATTCAAGATAGAGAATTTTCTGCACACACCCATCTAGTATAATTTACTGAAGTTAACCAAATTATACGTACAGCAGTCAGAAAGTATGCTTACTATTTTTTCTTTTTATGTAAAAGTTAAGTGAAAAATTTTAATTTGGCGCTATTCCTCAATTCTCCTCCTACAATCCACTCCAGTAGTAACTTTCTGCGTCGAAATGCGGTAGCCCACCAGTCACTTAAAAATGGCCAACGTCGATGATCTTATGTGACAGCGTGATTGAATTCTTGAATACAAAAGGTGAGATGCCCATTCTCATTCACGAAAGACAGAAAAATGTGTATGGTGATGCAACAATGGTTGTCTTCACTGTTAAACATGGGTTCGTCGCTGTAACGAGGCTGAGGGGATGACCGCTGGATGACGCTAGGGGACAATATTCGTGATAACCGCTGGGTGACTGTAGATGAATTGAGGAAAATAACGCGCCACGCCACGCACGATGTCATCGACTTGCTGAATGTTGTGTGACGTCATGGATACTCACAGCGACCACAGACACAGAGCTTTCGTATAACAAATATATTTATTAACAAGAAAACAAAACAAATGTATACACTTAATAATCTACTTAGTCCCTAGCTCTGATAAACCTACTATCCCCTGATCGCGGGAGCGATGCAAAACCCGATTGAAGATGGTTTTGATTGTGGCATTCGCCACTCCTACTTTTGAAGCGCGCACAAAGCCTAGCTTCCGTGACCGGATGTCACGCTGGGACACAAAGTTCGTTCTGGCGCACCAACGGCTGGTTTGCCTCGATCGCAGGAGCAATTTTATCCTATTGAGAATCGGCGTGAATCGTGGCACTCAACCACTCTTCACCTCGGAGCACGCACACAGCATCGCTCCCCCGTGACCGCAGTCACCCAAGGACATAAAGTCCGCAGGCTTCGTCAACTAATGACTCCAGCCTCGCGAGCCTGGCTCGCATATGCACCGTCGTGGCGCCAAGTTTTGTGCACACGCACGAGGTTCTCCCACCGTCTCCAGAACCTACCTACTGGCTCCGTACACTCTGTTATATAGGCGAGGCCCACGTGACCTCCTACGTCACGCCACCCCCTCGCTTGTTATAACAGTGAAAAGCTTCTATAAGCGTTCTTCCCTTTACGGAAAAACCCTTCTTCCTGTGGCGAGACTAATCCGCAACCAAGCGTCCCCAAATAGATGCCATGAGGCACGCTGGCTAATACGTTACAGTTGCATGGAGTGCCCGAAGTCGCAGACCTGCCGCTCCGCTTTTCGTCAGCCAACGATGTTTGCCCTTCTGCTTTGTTATAGGGACGAACCATCGCGCAACAGTGCAGAAATCCATTATTGCATCATCGTACTCATTTTTCAGACTTTCATGAATGAGAATGGGCATTTCATGTTCTACATTCAAGAATTAAATCACACAATGCTGTCTCTTACGGACATTAAGAGACTGCTGCGCCTCCAAATGTTGACGCAGAAAGTTACTATTGTATGTTTGAGGGTTAAATTCAAATTTTTCCACTTAAATAATTTTATATAAATTCCGTGGTGGTAGCAGATATATTGTGTTAATCCATAATGTTAATCACATTTGGATTGCGGTTGATGTTGATTAGGTGATTGATTTACGTTAGGTGATTGATTTACGTTAGGTGATTGATTTACGTTAGGTGATTGATTTACGTTAGGTGATTGAGTGAGTGAGATTAGTGATTGTTGTGGTTGAATATTTCCTAACTTACTTTAATTTTATATACGTAAGTAGAAACAATAGGAGGCATTACTTTTTGTCTTACTCGTGTAGTAATTAACGAAACTAGTGGATAAAGAAGGTATAATTGAACGAGTGAAAGTTCAAGACGATAGCACCATAGTCGCTCTGATCATGAACCTTCTGAACAAGACTCATTTTAATGGGCGTTGCATTGTATATTTATGATCACTGTAGTGACATAAAGGATACGAAAATGGTCTTAAAATGGAAAATATTGATCATATTCCAGATCAAATATTAGACGAAGCAGATAAAACAAAGACAACTTTACATCCTGTCGAAAGTGAGGATACTATGAGAGATAACATAATATTTATAAATCTTGAAATAGGGAAAAGTGAGTAACTTCTGATTAAGAAAATATTTTCTTGCACACTTTTTAGAAAGAGTAAATACAACTGACATTTATATTTTTCCCAATTGCAATATGCTTACAGCAAATGTTTTACATTTATACATTTAATTTTGTCATATTAAATATCTTATATTTTCCCATTGATAATGTTAAGAACGAACGCGCTTGTGACCATACTGGAAACGACGTTGCACATGAAAGCCATTTCGTATCATAACAGCCTAGGTAGAATAACATACTGCAATTGAAGTAATTGTACTTTAAATATGAATAAGTAGTAATATCTAAGTATTTGTTCATAAAAGTGCCAGATTGAAGTTCTACGTAATATATAATGTGCACTTTTTATGCTAATAGAGCCTTAAATACACGATTTTTATCCTTTTCCTGTGTTTTGATCAGTAGTTACGGAGTTTTAATTGCACACATTGACTTAATATGGACAAATCAGTTATTTTTTGTGAAATTAACGAGTGTATTAAATATACTTTATATATTATAACATATTAAAAAATATAAATTATAATATATTAAATAATTTAATTAAATTTACATTTACCAATCGAAAAAATAAATCATCTTTCACTGGCTAGTACACCAAGAAATTTACACAAAGAGACCCTGATGAGGTCCAGGCGGCCTTTGGTCTCCCAGGGAGTCGCGTCAGCCGAAGCAGGAAATTCTCTGCCGCCGAGGCGTCGTCGTCGGCCAGCGCGAGAGGGGTGAGGAGGGACCAAGCGCGCGGAAGCACTCGAGGAAAGCGGCTGCGCGCCGGCGGCGGCCGGGCGACCTTCCTCAGGACCAGTGCGTGAGTCGCGCATCTTCCTGCCGCCCCCCCGCTCACTGGCCATCTCTCCGCCGTTCGTGCTTGTAGCGCTGTGCGCTCGCGCAAGATCAACCGGCGACCCGCCACCTCCGCGGTCGCTCCGACTGCAATTCGCCCGCCGCTGCCTGCAAGACCTTGCACGGGGATGAGAACCGGAACCAAATCGGTACGATTTACATCGAATTTCGTGGCGTGCAGGCTAGATTAGAAATTGACGTGACTAGTTGCGTAGTATAATAGTGAAAATGAAACTTTTCTAGATCTGAAACTTGGATAAATATGTACCATTTATTATCGAGAACGTAGATCACAAAGAAAAAGCTTATAATAAAAAATACGCGAAATATTCTTTTTTGTTAAAAACAGGAAGTGTTTTCGGATGTGCAATCCTTTGTTTTCAATTCCATTATAGAAGGGTTTCAAATGAAACTGTTTTAAGGAAAGAGGGTACAATGTATAACGCCATTTTAAATTTGCTATTATTGATGTACCTTCTCTAGAAAATGGTTAACTAGAAAATTATGATATTTTGCCCTCTTTAAGAGACAGCCATTGTTATTATTTTGTAATTTTTTATTTAATTAAAACGTAATAAGTATTTTTTTCAATTATAACTTTTGTTTCAATGTTTGCAGCTTTGTTTGAGAAACATTTTTAAAAATTTTATTATTAAAGAACATTTATATACAATGTCGATTTATTGACAATACTATAATGAATGCATCCAGTAAATTTTAATAAATTGGGAACAATAATTCCTGAGAAAATTTACATTACTTACAAAACAAGTACATTGTCGACAAATGCCATTTGAAAAACGTGTGTATTGCCACTGCTCTACTATAATATTCTATAATTATTTTATTCAATACTACAATACGTACAAGATTTACATCTACCGCAGGAAAACTACAGAACAACTACAGTGGTACCTTAACAAATAGGCGATAGATCGCGCGAGACCTTCCCTTCCTCTTCCTTGTCCTATTATCTCCCCTTACTTACACCCTCTAACACTTAAGGCCCATTTACAATTCAAACATAAACATAAGCATGGCGTTAACATAAAAGTTAGAACTATGTCCATAAGCGGACTCATTCACAATGCGTTCGCATAAGCATAACACGTAAGACGCTAACTTAAAAGCTTGCAAGCTTCAAGCTTACGCTTGACATAAGAAATAAGACAAGTAAGACACAAGAAATGAACCAATCACAGTACGTTAACACAAAATCCAGAATCGAGATAGGATCGAAGTTGATAGACGAACTAACGCCATGTATCATGGACCATGGACACAGTCGATACCTCGAAATCGATTCTCCCATCCAACGAATTATAAACTAGAATGTCTCACAGCCAATAGAAATCCTTATTTTACTTACGTTTATGTTCGACATTGAGAATACTTCAGTATATCACTTAAGTTAATGTTTACGTCTATACGTTATACCTATGTTTACGTTTGCATTGTGAATGGGCCTTTACATGTACCACACTACCATACGAGACCAGTCTCAAACTCGATACGGCTGGGACGGTGCGCTGGGGCAGAGGGGGAAATTCCCTAAGCGTTTTGGTTGGCGCCGGATCTCACCACCCAGCGCGGGAGGAACACCGGTACATCCTGCGATACAATATCCACGACACCACTACGAGTAGAGTAGGGAAAACAGCAGTCGACATGTCAATTAATCAATCCCCGGCTTCGACACTAAACATGGTATGCTATACCGCATATGTGTTATTTTTACTCTGCCTGACTGTAATGAGATAGAACATATCCTTAGAATGTGTGTACTGAATATTTTGGCAAAAACTTAGCAAGAAACTCAGGCTTGAATTAGATGATGAAGATGGTAGTGACATGAATTAGATGATTTTTAGAGGTAAAACTGAATTTTAAACGAAAATACCTGCTGAAACACGGCAGAATAAAAGGTTAACGAATTTTACAAAGTGTACTAACAGCCTGCAAGGAGGAAAACTCAAATGGCGTTGCGTGTCGGGCTTCCTCTCTTCCTCCTGTCCGACTCATCCCTGGCGTCAGTGAAAGGAACGGGCGAGCGGCCGGGCGAATTGGGAGCGCTGTGCAGGGGGTGGCTGTGGGAAGGGGAAAGGGGCAAGGGCGGGCGCCGGCGGCGAGGCCGCGATGCGTGGGAGAACTCGTTGGCGACGGCCGACAAAGACGCTCCTCCGAATCGCCGACCTCGGCCCGCGAGGATGAGAGGCACCTGGGGCCGTCCTCCTGCGTAATCTGCGTAAGTCATCTCAAAGAAGCGGCTAGGGGAACATCCGCACGTTGAAACGCATTCAGATGGAATTAGTGGGAATATGCTACTCGCAACATGACAATTCCAGGCTCTATTGTGAATACAGAAACACTTTTGTAGTAACGCTTTTGAGGACAAAAATATATTCAATGGAATAAATGAAACATAACATAATAAAATAAATTACATAATATAAATAATAATATTATCAATAATAATATAGATTATGGATGTAGGGCCCTAGAGGGCGTAGCTAATTGCGATAACATGATGGTTGTTGTTCATGATTTTTGTTTTTATTTTTTATTGTAATAATTATTTGTAATAATAAAACATTGCCAAATACTAAAAAGCATCCTGGTGCCGTTATTGACTATTCCCTCAACAGCCGTGCCTCAGTCTCATTTATCATATTATTTTTATTATAAAATATACTGAAGAGACAAATTAATAATAATAAAAATAATAATAATTAAAACTCAGTCAATTGAAAAAAGAAATAGAGAGCTTCATAATTGCAGCACAGCACCAAGCCATCAAAACCAAATACTACAGAAGACAGATCATGAGAGAAAATATTGACAGTAAATGTAGGCTATGTCACGAACATGAAGAAACAATAGACCATATAGCTGCAGGATGCCGTACGCTAAACATGAATACATATTGCATGATGGAGTATTTCAAAGGGTTCATTACAATATATGCAAAACACTTGGCATCAACCTAGTAGATAAATGATACAAGTATGATCTAAAACCTACCATAGTAAATGAAAATACCACAATCCATTGGAACCCACAAATAAAAACCGACAGGGAAATAACAGCAAACAAACCTGACAGTCATACGTAATAAAAACAACAATATCTGCAAGATATACTTGCAGTACCAATACCTGCAAGACTTAGCAATGCCAAAAGATGCCAATACAATAAAGAAAGGAGAAACTATACAGTACTACAAAACTAGACTACACTATGAAACTATACTACAAAATAGCACAGACTTTTCCATATTAGTTTTCTATTTCCTTTTAGTCTCGGCTCGCTATTCCAACTTAATTATTCTTGCCTGTTGCCATATATCGCCGCCCAAAGTATATATAATTAAGAATAAATGAATTAATAAAATATATATTATGAATTAGTAAAATATTAATTTTTCGATTTCCTCATAGTAGAACGGAAATATTTTAAGAATATTATAGAACAGTATAACCTCAACCTAAATGAAAATTGTCTTTGAAATATTTGGAGACGTTTTTAAGAAATTGGCGCTTACGTATTAGAGTAAATTCGAAATTTCAAGCACGTTTTCACAGAAACTTTTTGAGTTTTCGAAAAACGTCATTTGAAGTCACTTGAAGCACTTCATCTCACAAATGCTATAGGGTTTGCAAATTGTTGAAAGTGTACATATTACCGGCGTGAGATATCTTTAAAAAATTACATTTGTGAATTTTTGGAAAAAAAAATCCTGAAATGAACTTCACGTCATATTAAAGAGTGCAATTGGCACTATCCTTTAGAGACGTTTGAGGAAACATTTTTTTAGCAGTTTTAGAGAAAATGACGTTTGAGTGTTTCTGGAAACGCGAAATTTTGAGCTAGTTTTCACAGAAAATTGTTGTCTCCGAGAAGCTTTATATGACAATATTTAAAGCTCGTATACTCATAAATATAATAATGTGAACAAATTGCCGCATTAAAATATAAATATTATCGTAGTGAGAGACAAGTAAAAAAATTACATTTTTGTAATATGTTAAAAACCAGAAAAGAATAGAGCAATATGACATTTATGTCATCTCATAGAGTGCATTTAGCACAATCTCTTCCAAATGTCTGAAGTAATTTGTGAAAAACCAAAATGAAAGGCTTGAGCAATATGGAATTTATGTCATCTCATAGAGTACATTTAGCACAATCTCTTCCTAAAGTTTGAAGAAAATATTTGGAGCTGTTTTGGGGATTTAATTGCACGCAATATTGCGCGAAAACTACTAAAATTTTCAAAAGACTCTACATGACCTACATGAAAAAACACATTATGGACAGCAAAATTCCTTTCAAGGAAAAGTCTCTATATCTAATTGTCTAGTTGTAAGAAGACCCTGAAAAAATTCAAACTTTTTAAATTTTTAAACATTTAGTGCTAACCGTAAAAATTGGACCTATGCCACCTTGATAAGTGAATATTACTATATTCTTAGAAAAAAATTAAAGAAAAAGTTTGGAGCCATGTTAAAAAAGAAGTTGAAAATGTCCCAGGGGTTTCATGTAAAGTACCCCCAAAACTAATGAATGATTTGAAAAATCGCAGAGCTTCGACTCAGACCTAATGGACCGGGGTTTTGTTTCAATTTGAAAAAATCCTGCATGATTTAGGTGCTAGGGTTGTTCACATACAACAGACGGACGGACAGACGGACAGACGGACAGACGGACAGACGGACAGACGGACAGACGGACAGACGGGCAGACGGACAGACGGGCAGACGGACAGACGGGCAGACGGACAGACGGGCAGACGGGCAGACGGACAGACGGGCAGACGGACAGACGGACAGACGTTTTGTTAAAAAACACTTTTTCGGTATCAGGGGCCTCAAAATGTGTATTTTCATTGAAATCTTGAAATTGATTTTCCGCAGCATTACATAACTTTCCCTATACTACGTATATTACTCCGCATATCCGTACGTACTCGGAAAAGTAAAAATATAAATACAAAGAATGTGGAAAACAAAAACTGAAATAGTGCCAATAGTAATAGGAGCTCTAGGAACTGTCACAAAGCAGCAACCAATATTTAAACAAATTACTTGGAAAAACATAATGTACAGAAGTTCATAAGGTAGCTTTTCTGGGCACAGCCCACATTCTCAGGAAGTCACTATAAGAAGAAATGTTTAGAAGATGTTTAGAATATGGTACATTCTTGGCTTAAAAAGAGAGCAGCATTGTCAGCTGTGATGGAATAATAATAATAATAATAATAATAATAATAATAACAATAATGTTCTCTCCGCTACAACTTATAACTGCAAGCAATAGCCATCATTATGTGCATTACCTATAGAAACATGGCGATCAGATGAACATTAATATTGTGCCCCACGATTGGATAATAAAAATCCTGGAGATCTATCGATTTTATCCTAGAAATCTAGAGTTTTGAAAAGTTAATATGAACTCAAAAGAAAAAGGTCATTTGTATTCAGCGAAAAGCAAATCGTAGATCCAGAAAATAATGAAATAAAAGGGGAGTGGGTTCAAGGAGATTCATTATTCTCTCTGCTCTTTTGCATCGGTTTCATGGCACTTTTCCGCAATTGCCGGAAGCTGCCTTCGAATACAAATTCCTTGGTGATGCAAGACCGCTAACTTATTAATTTACCTGGATGATTTCCAATTGTGTGCAAGGAATGAAGGGATTCTCTATAAATTGTTGTCTGTACAAAATGCGCATGCATGAAAATCTACAATGACATCTTCATAGAAATTGTACTTGAAAAATCCCTTTAAAATGTGTTAAAATTATAACATAAATAGTATATAAGTAGAGATGCATCATATTATTTAAGGCCTTGAACCAGGCAAAACATACAAATATTTAGTTCAAGGATCCCTACCCTTTCCTTTCACCTTCCCTTTCAAAATAATGATTTGCTTCAACAAGCCCCTTATATTTTTCTCTGTAACATTAAGAACACTATGTATTAATAATATATAATGTAAATATTTGTTTAATGTAAATAATGAAATAATGGTTTTATTTGTTCGTATATATATAACGGAATAACGGAATATATAATAACGGAATTTTCTAGTCATGGTCTTACAATTTAAGACTATTACTAAATCTAGTATGTATAATAATGTATGTGTTTTGTGTCTTAGATTATATATATATATATATATATATATATATATATATATATATATATATATATATATATATATATTAGTGCTGCTGTTTGTATTAATATATTATTAGGACTGAATATGGAATTAAAATATTCCAAAAAGTCGACTGTCTGAAATAAGTTAATATTTTATTTTGTACTGAGACCAAATTCCATTATCCGAAACATCCATTTACTTACATGAGCGTGAATCTTCAATGGTTATCATTTTTTATTAAAAAAGTAAACAACGTTTCAAAAGCAAAATCACAGATTGTATTTGTACAATATTCGACTTTTTCTCACGTGATTGACGTCAATTTCAAAAGAAGAACAATTTATTAATTTATATTAAATGAAAATATGTAATAACAAACATAATAATTTAAGAACACGATCCTACTTACCAACACCACTACTTTTTTCAATAAATGGGATCTTGAACTCGTTTATTCTGATCAGTTGCCTGTGTATACTAGGCCCCGGTACATATTCGTTCTCCCTTTAAAATATCATCCTCACCCAAGGGACCATTAAAGACTCCACTGGGAAACCCCGATCTAGCCATAGAAGAATATGACATCTTGAGAGACGAGGGAGAGAATTCGAAAGGGTATTACACAAGAAAAAAATCACGCCTATACTTCTCTGAGGAATAACATTTTCGCGATTTGGCTGTGCCTCTAACGAGTAGAGCTTCGGTCTGATGGACTTTACTGAGCAAGAAATTCGAACCAAGGATTCGATAAAGAAACTTGTGTACAACACATCTTTGCTCACCTTTGAGCTCTTCTACACATGTATCACACTTTTGCTCATGAATACGTACACCGCACAAAGTGGTACATGAAAACAAATTGAAACATTTTGGCACAATGTAATAGTTGGAATAGAAAAGTATGTAGTCCGTAATGAAGATGACTGACGTATGAGGCTGATCATTAAATCTGATGCCAAGAATTCTAATAGAGTGATTTTAATTCCAGCAAGAAGCATTGCACAGAAAACTATCGCAAAGCACTCAGAATAACGCAATGATCCCTTGATTCTACATTGACATGAAATGTGACACAAAAAATGTTGAAGGTATTCCAGAGAGACAAACCATTCCACGCAAAATATTTAAAAAGTATGGGTCAGATACAGATCAATAAAGACTATGGCTTTATTGATTTATGACTTAAAATAAGAGTAAAGTCTGAATCGCAAGTAGTTGTAATAACCGAGGATAAAGCATTGAGAACACATCATTATTTGCGATCAAACGCCTAAATTGATATTACAATAATCATAAATGTTTTGAAAATATTAACGCCGAACAATGGTTTCAATGTCCTGAACCTCGCCAAAAATAAATACTTTATCATAAAGATGATGATGACGATAAAGCAGTTTTCAAAATTTCCCGGGATAATAAATGCCGTGTTTGTCACAAAGAGCTAGAAACTATTGATAAATTCGTTTCATTTTGTTTAATTCTAGCAAAATACAAATACACGAAAAAGCGCAGTAAAGTCTCTAGTTGCATCTACTGACATCAATTTCCAAACACACGCACCAAGCGTTACGAAAACTCATCATAACCTGTTATGTAGGTAAACTGTGTACAGTACTAAATGGCTGACAAATACATACCGATGGTACGATATCAGCTAACAAACAGAATTTGGTTAATGGAGATTAGGAGAAAAATCAGGTTTACTTGAGATGTTACTGTGTCATGAGATCAGAATGCTGTAACAAAGGGGATAGAGAAATGTCTTAAATAAAAGAGTTTGTAAATCGAAATCAGCCGGGGTGGAACGCAAAAGCATCGGTCGTATGGGAGTTATGGGAGATCTGGGATCTGTTCCGCAAGATTTATGCAACAACTTGACCAAACTTCTAGGTCTACTGAACAAAAAACTGGAAAGACTAATACCAAAACTATTTGTATAAATGGGTTTATTCAGCAACAAGGTAAAAGAACCATCAGTTGAATTTTATTCATCGCAAATCTTTGTGGCGAGAACGTCTACAAGTTGTCCTGTTTTAAATCATGAAATGAAACGAAGGCATACAATACATTTAGATGTCAATGACACAATCTGGAAGTAACGAAGGCAATGGATTGGGTAGAACGGCGAAAGGGTGGTTGTTCTAACATTTCCTTCCTGGCATTCTCTGCCGGCTGTCCTTACGTCACCATCACTTCAAATACATCTACGTCTTTTCAGCTGGGTCGACTTCCCTTATTTCTGACAGCAGCGCTGTGATCGCTAACAACGCAATCGGCCACCGTCATCGACCCAGATCATTTGTCATCGTCGATGGCGTCACTGCCGTATCGTCTGCGTCCATCGCCAACCCGCTACCCTTCGCCGACCGAACGGCGAAGAAGCGGCCTTCCCCATACGCCGCCGCCGCCGCCGCCGCCGCCGCCGCCTCCGCCGCCGGCGCAGGTGCCGTCCCCGCGTCTGTGGGAAGGCTCCGCCACCGGAAGGCCTTCTCCGCCGGAAGGTCGCGCTCGCCGAGCCCACGCACCGCCCGCGTATATAGGGCCGGGCGCGCGCCGCCGCCCGCCAGTGAGGGTCTAGCTCGCCGAGGAGACCCCGAAGCACCACCGCCACCGCCGCCCAGCACCACTCCACCCTCTCGAGATGGCCCAACACTCGACGCTCGCGCTCGCAGCCGCGCTGCTGCTGCTGGTCGCCGCCTGCGCCGCCGCGCCCGCCGGTGAGTAGGGGTAGTCGTTTCGCTAATAGTCGATTTTAGTTTGATAGCTTGGTCTCTCTTCTTCTTTGGTCCTATCTTCCATATACGGAAGTTAGGTGACCCATAGCGGGTTTTCTTGGGATAAATTACTCAGGGTGGTTTCCCGTTGTCTTCCCTGATATGATGATGATGATGATGATGATGATGATGATGATAGGGGGTGAAAGGACTAACACAATACAATCATGCCCGAGGCGGGACTCGAACCCGCGATCTTTCGGTACGAGATTGCTACGGCACTACTGCCTCAGCGATCTCGGCTACCGGATCGGCTTAGCTTGGTCTCTAGGGGGTGATTATTATAGAAATGGTCGGTTTTACATTGAAAGCGTTGGCTTCCTGGGCCAGAGTCATTGTCTACGTGACTATCCAGGAGACGTCGCGACTTAGACAAGTTGCGAACGTTTCGACCGTCATGCTGCGACCTTCCTCAGGGCAAAATGCATTTTGGCGGCATGTCAGCATGGAATTTGTGTCGAAGATGTAGTGTCTTTCGGACAGCCAAGTAGATACGGTTTTAGATTATTCTCTTATTTTCACCGTCGGATTCTTTTTGACAATTCTCCTTGAAGGTCACAAAAGTGATCACTATGCTAATTCATTCTATGTATATTTGTAGTTCTTTTCTTCTTGATGCGTGTGTCCAAGACGTAGCCTTCATTTCACAACATTAGTTGTCCCAATCACCAAGAGGATCAAATCAAGAATCAAGAGAGGTCGGCCTAATCAGAAATACTCGTACATTATTCAGAGCTACAATAATTTTAACAACATGATTATGATAAATTGTAATTGGTTCGTCGTATCACAAACATTTTAATAACCGGTTCTGTGAACTACAATAATTTTAACAACCGGTTTGTGCAAACTGACAGGAAGACAGCACTGTCTCTACATCCACTTTTCTTTTTCTTTTCTTTTTTCTTTCATTCTTTCCAGGGATTTTCTAGCCTCAGGTGATGCCGGTTTCAACTATCCGCGCTGGATATCCACTGTGCCCTTCATGGGAACACATATTAACATTTACACTAGACATTGACATACTTGCGGGCTCCTCGGTATGTGGTCAGCGGACTCACAAGGCCTTCCGCTACAACACACATACACGGAAAACAAGGAACATATAACCATGTCCGTGGCGGGTCTGGAACACGCGTCCCTTCTGACCGAGGCGCATAGTTGGCACGCTCTAGCCACCTCGGCCATCCAGGACGGTCACTGTCCATACGTCTTAATGATTAAATGAAATATTTGATCAGCTTCCAGGATGGAATACATTTTAAGGCTCGTGGACACTCTTTCACAGCAATGATACGTGATATAAGCTGAGGCTGACGCTGACACTGAAGGCATTTGACTCCTTACGCATCTTGTCAGCATGTGCTGGAGTCCTTGGAAGACTTAGAGCTACTTTGAAGTAAGACACCATACGCATGTAAATATGATATACGTGGTTTTTCTAGACGGAATAAATTCAAAACGAATAATTAAATTATTATTACCACAGTCGTTCATGCGTCTTATTGTGTTTTCCCTCTAATAAACACATCTCTAAGATTTTGAAAATTACATTCAATTCCTTCAGTGTTGGTAGGCATGTATCTTGACTATCCAATTGTACTTTAATTTTCCCCCATCTTGTACCATCAAGAATGAAAAAAGTGGCATGATATGTGCTGCGACCCCCGCAGTAAGGGTAGAGCATGAAATTATCATTGTTACGTAATGCTAAGAGAACGGACAGCTACCATGAAACCCGCAAATCAACATAAAAGGGACGATTGGCTAATAAATATTACGCAAAACAGATAAATGGTATGAAAATATAATAAACAAACCATTACACACGAGCAAATTATCAATGCAGTTTATCAGCCATTTTTGAAATCACTTGGAATATCCACAGAAATACCACATATTTTTCAAAGCACCAATAATCTCGTTATTATACGAAAAGTCTGATGTAATTATTTACACTTTAACGCTTCTTTTATTACTTACCGGTGCCCAATAGGAGCACAAGTAACAACTACTGAGCATAATATTCAACTAAAATAATTATAGTGGAAATTCAATGGAAATAAATAAAATATTCTTATAAGACAGCATTTTGTTGGCAATCGGGCAGATACGAGAACATAATTTTTGCACATTTCTAATGTACTAAAGTAATATTGCTACCATGATTAGTAGATCGAAATTTGCATTTCCCAGTTTATGTAATTGCTTTGAAAATGCTCGATTATATTTTTTCGTTTCTCAGAAGAAAATAATAAATAACTTCCTGATAAAATTACGAATTAAGTTATTTAATTTCATCATTGCCAAAACGCTGGACGTTTTTTAATATTGCCCAAAAAACTAAAAGACAGTTACTGCACCGGCGGTGTCGCCGAATACCAAGCTACGTTCCTGAAAATCACTGCAAATTTCTCTGAAATCGATCCTTACTTATTTCGATCAAAATAGATCCTTACTTATTTCGTTTAATATCCCTATTATAAAAGTGATTATAATATTGAATTTAATCTTCCCTATTTTTCCTCTAAAATTCGCTAAATTTCCAATTTTCGAATTTTTTTCCTTCTCCTTCTCCTCACAATCCAAGTTTCTTCACAAATCTGCTTGCTTGTACTACCTCTCCACCAAAATAGTAGTTCTTTCCCTCGTTCTTTGTTTGTAGCTCCCTCAACATTACCTTCTCATCGCCTTGACACTTCTTGGAAATAAAAAGAATTCTCATAAAACCAAATGCACGCTCTTATAGACATGACACGCGTAAATTATTTGTCTTTCTATAACTATTTTTAGGTAGCTACTAATAATAGTAACGTGTCAGAACTGAATAAACCTACTACGATAAGTAAACATCAATCAGAAACTGACAATATTATGAATACAAAATATAAGTATTTCTTCAATTCTGTAGTATCTCCGAAAAAATTGAAATTGGAGATAAAAACAATAATTCTCTATGCCAGTTAGTTTGTGTATTATATTTTTCAATTTACTATTAAGCTGTTTCATTTTTCTCAATTTATTATTTCATTGCAGAAGCTATTATTTTATACGTTTTTATTATATTTCTTGTATTTCATTTACATTATAACATCCGGTTACGTTTGTGACAAATTGTAAAATTCTTCTCAAGGGAAAGAAAACACCGTAAAATATTTGAAATATGAATGACTTATAATTCTCATTATTTTACCTTAATATGTTATCAATACAACTGTCCTTATTCTTTACATTTTATAGTAGTGAAAAGTAATTCTACTGCATTTTTAGTGTACGTGCATTAATAACATAGCATTATCAACCATATATTCACGATGAAAAACTTATTTTATTGGTTTGCTATGAAGAATGTGTACCCTTCTCTTACTGTCCCGAATATACTTTTTCTCAATTAATAAATTATAAATCAATAAATACAATTCCATATTCAAGTATTTGAAGCCCCTTCGGAGAGAAATTGCAGGCAGCAGCAGCAAAGTGTCCTGTTGCGGCACATGCAATGAAGATAAGAGCGCGGCAGAAGAAATCGATTGTCTATTCCATCGAACAAAGGAATTTATCCTTGGAACTACTGGACACAAGTTCTGTAGCCAATGCAAGCGAAAAACCTCCTGAACATATTAACGCAGTATTGTGCAATGTTAATTGCTTCTATTTTGTACTTTTGCTTCTTGTATTTTCTCGTATTATTTCATTTTAATACTGTTAAAGCTTCCAAAATAGCTTCTGTTGACATTTGATAGCATTTGATCCAATTCACTTTCAGTGACTGGAATTAAAACTATTATGAACTGAAATTTTATTATTCAACTAGTTAGAATAATTGCAATGCTTTTTTTTTAAAGTTTGGTAATATTCAGACCTGGCAAAATGAGATATATTCGTCTAAGTTACAGCTTTACAGAAACCGATGACACATCCTCCTTGTTTAGTATACTTACTGCTAGGACTGAGATTGTAAGAGGGGCAACCCCTTCTATATTTAACAGATCATAATATGTCAGTTCGAAGTTAGGTTACAATAAGGAACTATTTTAGAACAATTATTTGAAAATAAGAAAGGTTGGCACGGTTTTAAATTATTTAATTTAAACTGGCAATACATGGACAACGTACCGATATATCGAAAGAATCACATCCAGAGTGCTGTATTAAATGAGAACTCAGGAAAATTTCAACATCTGGCATGGAGTTACACTCGTACTAAACAGAAAACTAAATATGCCTCATTGTTTGATGAAAGGGAAGTGAGATTAAACTCACAAGAAAGTGTGCATCAACACTTCAGCTTAGAGTTTATTGTTGCGATGGGCCGCTATATTGATTTTAAATGTATTTTTCAGGACTCATCCGCGGAAGCTAGTACCTTCATTGTTTATTAATGGAATAGTGTTACTTTGCTTTCTTTGCCGTAAGCGTGCCGCAAATAAGTCATGGCCATATTAACAACTGAGTGCTGCAAAGTAAAGCAAAAGACTGGGGCGGGGAATTAATAAATATGACTGCGCGCACATGGAGAATAGAACATATATGTATATTTCCATCAATTCACACTAAAAAATACGTATAAGTACACACGTTATACAAAAGTGTCTTTAACGCTTTCTCATCGGAAATGCATATCTTGATTCCTATCATCACCTTTCATTTGTACGTCAGAGACTCATTGTCTGTACTACGTTTTGTAGATTTTTCAATAATATAAATGTGGCAATGGCTGTGGCAAATGTATAATGAAGCGAAGAAATATGTTTCCAGTATTCAATGAGAGATGCAATAATCAAACTTGACGCGGAATTTTTATATTCTCCAACGATAAAAAAATTATACAAATTAATAACCAGAACAATTCATAAATAAATTATTGGGAATGCAAGTAAGCATGAATTTGAAAAGTTATTATTATGTAAATATGACTATTATTTTAAAAATGCATTGCTTCACACTTTCATAGAACGGGAACTCAAAAACCATTTTGGAAGGAACTGCTTCTACATAACTTTTTTTTTCAAAAAATAAAGTATAATCACTGCATTATTTGTACCTTAAATTTTATTGTTTCAAGAGTAGGTTTTGAAATTACTGACAGATGAAGGCTCTACAGTAATACTCTCAAGGTAATCTACAGTACATAGGAATCTCTAAAGAAAAAGTAGTAATTGTACAGATTTTTACCCTAGAGAAAATAATAAATAATAGAAAATGATTAACACCAATAATGTATACTTATTCTAGAATTAGTATTTTACAATAACAATGTAAATTTCATGTAAGTGCATGGTTATTGTCAGTGCAGGGCAGTTATGAACACATCCCATCACCAGCCCTAACAATTGTGCCCATGTGCTGTGCTAGGAGATAACACTAAATTAGTGAAACCTAGTCATAAAAGACAATCAGGGATGGTCGGTTTCTGATAGGTTGTGTCAAGAAAAAATCTTAAACCATTTTATTTAATAGATTTCGAGTTAGTAAAAACATGCAGCATTAATATAAATTCTACCGCGATGACGAAAAAAGTAATGGAAACTATACTTTAAAAATTCATGCAAAAAGTGACCCAGGAGTAGGATAGCAAGAGCGAAGTGAGAGAGAAATAATTAGCTAGAAGATAAATTTAGTGACTATTATTTTAATTGACCCCTGATCCACACGTGGGTGAAATAACCTGGCGTAAAATGAACCTCCTATTGTGAATGTCTTTAGCCACGGCTATAATAGATATGCAATTAGACGAACTTCGGGTCTCCTCATTTGGCAAACTCCGAAACAAATCAATTCTTGAAAAGAACAATAGAGATGTCAAATGCTGCTGCAGGAATGTAAGCATTTGAAATGTCAGTATTTCATTTCTCTCAAAATTTCACACGACTATATCAAGATCGTAAAATTTCGTCAGGTACGAGTACGATTTCTTATCTTTAATTTATTACCTAATGATAATCTAAAAATTGCAGGCAATTAATAGAAGGAGACTAAAGCGGCCACATAACTGAATTAAAATATCACACGGACGAGCTCCGCGTGGGAAAAGATATAAACCTTAAGACCTGTGGACCTGCATGAAATAATAAAATGAAATACGTTATCGAAATGTTGAACATACAAAATTGTAGATATTGTAAAGTAAATCGATTCAGAATCCTTCATTTTTTATAATTTTCAACTTCACAGATATATAATTTTCGTGGTGTAACATAGCAGAGACTTTCTCTGATGGTTTCTGTTTTGTAAAATCTGTAGCGGATTGTAGCTTCGCGAAATGGGAATGACAAACATCTGCCCTAGAAGAAATCTCATATGCAATATATAAATGCAAAAATCATCTTCCGCTGTTTTCCCATCTCCTTATTTGTTGAGTTTTTTCATAGCGTACAACACAAGTAACGGACTTTCCTGCAAATTATGGTAAACGTGTTTTTAGTTCATTAGCAAGGGAATGGTGACCGATGACTTGTAAAGAACATGATGGTCTTTCATTGTTTCGTCAATACATCTGCTGAGACTATCGAATGTTACATCCGTGAATACGAAAAACTCCATTTTTCGTGGAACGCTAATTACCTCCCTATTTATGACTTACATTGTATGACAAATATATATATGTATTTGAATTTGAACGTAATTTCCTTGTTTTTTTCACCTCACGTACAGCGGACAAAAATGAACCCCATGTCAACACTCAGAACTATCCAAAATATATTCTCCAATAATCCAATCATTCGCAACATTCTAAATCTTCTTTACAAAAAGAAAAAAAAATAGGTTATATCATTATACAGTAATGGCTCCCTTACATCCCCAACTACTACATCCCTTACTATCCCCTCTTCTCCAGGGGATTACTGGAAATGAAGAAGCTGACTTAACTGATAAAAACGCAACTCATTTATTGAATTTGACCAGCATATTCATGGTTCTTTAAATGACTTCATAAGAACTTTAAAAAAGTGTATTATTGAAGTATGGGATCGCCAGTGAAAATATTGAACATCAAAACTCCATGTAGTACGAAAACCGGTAACAGACTCGAATATCACAAACATTAGGAAGAAAAGAACAAGTTATTATCACAAGATTACGAATTGGCCATTCTTCACTCACCCACTCCCATTTAAAAACAACAACATCTAGCCACCTGTCCAAAATGTTAAGGAATGGTATCAACATCTCCCATTATCCTAGAATATTTAAATCGCCAAAATCGTAGGAACCCTTTGGGATCAATAACGATATAAATAAAATATTTAATTCAAATGTTGGAAATATTTTTTAAAATATATTAATATTGCTGGTCTGAATAAAATGATCTGAATTATTGTAAAAAGTATTGTACTTGATATTTCTGTTCGATACAATGTATAAAATGTATCTTTTATGTAAATTAATAGTAGTTACTAATGATATTAGCTGTTTCTAAAGCGACCTAAAACAAATAATTGAAAAAATGAAATATGTCTTCAGTTGTGGAGATATTTCTGAGTGCCATTTCCCCTCTATTCTACACATGTAAAGAATCAAAAGTCCTCAATTGAACAAGGTATTGCGTTTATTCATCTTGTCAGTATTGAAGCAGCCAAGGCACGAGGTCTAGCGACAAGTAGTGAAGGCGCTGGTAGTGCCCTCTGTCTGGAGGGAAAAGAAACTCATGGCAAGAACGAACGACAGCAACGACCTCTAGCATGCGGAACGTGAAACCAGATGTACCCGTGTATATGCATGAGGTAACCCGAAAAGGTATAGGATACCTCAGATTCAAACCATGTTTTTTCTGAATTGCATTACTTTGTTCGATGTTTGAATGTACGTATCGATTCATTCTTAACAAAGCATATGTTTCTTGAACAGAAATAAACTACTTTGAAAATTAGGATTTAAAATTAAGATACATTTTCTAAACTACTACTTGTTTAATAATTTTCGTAAATAATGGAAATCGATGATTAACAAAACATACAACTGTTTAATATATTAAACATTCTATATTGCTTTTCATTCATTTTACAATTTCAAATTATCTGATATTCCCAATAATTGATCTTTGCGCAATATTTCTTTTCGATTGTCGTTTTGACACACAATTTTCATTTTGTTCTAATTGTAGGGTATTTGATACAACTTTCGGGGCCAGACAGCTGTGCATTAGCTGATGCTCATAACTTCATACTTTGGTTCACTTGAGCTATCTGCCTCTGAGGCGTCCATGAAATACGAACCCCTGAAAGGGACTACTTATTTTAAACTATCCGTTATTGCTTAAGAAAATCCTTATCCTTATCCTTTAAGTGTTGGCTAAGAAAAAGGGCTGAATGTCCAACGCCTCTGTTTCAGACGTGGCTCGAAGCAAACGCTCTCCGATAAAGGGCCTGTTCTTGCACAAGAAGCCCTTCCTCGGCGGAGGCTACGGCGGGCAAGGCGGGCATGGCGGTGGGCATGGCGGCGGGCACGGCGGCGGGCACGGCGGGAGCTTCGCGGGCAGCTCCGCGAGTGCCGGCAGCTTCTCCGGGCACGGCGGCCACGGGGGCCCAGGCAGCGCCAGCCAGAGCCACGCCTCGTCGGCGTCCAGCTCCTTCGGCTTCGGGCCCATCAGCGCCTCCTTCTCGCAGAGCCACGCCAGCTCCTTCAGCCACGGAGGCGGCGGCGGCGGCGGCTTCGGCTCGTGAGTATGAAATGCTGCTTTTTGTGCATTAGATCAGGGTGGTGCAATTGGCGTTCCGCGGTGCCATTTATTGCGGCCTGGTAAGGCATGTTAGTCAAAAGTTAAATCCCTTGCATCCATGTCGGGCGAGAAGATTGCACGCCTAGCACACGCGCCCTGCTGGAGTCAACACTCCTTAATATAAAAATAGGTTAAGTTTAGATTTAAGATTTTTTTTTCTAGTAAATTTAGAAATTCAAAGTCGTCCCAAAGGGTCTCACTGCGTTATGCACGGTACTGCTTGATATGGTTTCCTCCCGCCAACCGTTTCAGAGCTGCCGGACAAACTGCCGAGATTAACAATACGGAAAAATCACATACCCTATTAATGAAAGTATGGCCCGCCACCGTGTTAAAGGTTTTAGTTGTAGCCCTTAAAGCCTTTCAAGTTGACATTCCTGCATTAGATTAAGGTGACCATATTTTGAAATCATAAAAATGGGAGCTTTTAATTTTTTTGTCCCGATAAAAGCGGCAAATGAGGACATAAACACTATACTATCACAAATATTTAGGTTTAGTTATTAAGATTAAATAAATGAATAAATAGATAAACCCTTATAATTTTCTTGATGTAGTGGCATTCAATTCACGTCAATCAAAGAATCCGTTAGAAAGGACCATTTTAAATTTAAAAAACGCATTTGTTTAATTTGCACATTCATTCACACGTAGGTCAGTACTTACTCAATTAACATTGCATACTAAGTCGAAGACCTAGAAACCCTCGGTTCGGACTACTGAATTTCTCTATAACAATATCGTTAGCAATAAAACCTACACAAGTTGAACTGATCCCGTAGCTGCATTTTCTCTTTCGAGAAACCACAACAGACTCTCTAAACACTCTTGTTACGTGGCACATGAGCACAATATCTTGTCGCATTTATTTTTTGTAAACAAATGCGAAGCAAACGGAATGTATTATGATAAATTTAATATTACTGACGACATTGCTGACAAGTCACTGTTACTAAAAGAAGATATTTTACTGCCCCGTTTTCCTGTCAAATAAATACGGGACCAGAACTCAATATAAGGAACTGTGGCGGCTAATATGGGACGTCTGGTCATCGTACGTCATATGGTAGTAACGTTTACGTACTTAGAACTTGCTTTAACTCTCCCCGCCAACATAGTCCAGGCCTTCGTCTTTTTTTTAGGACTCCATTGAATCAACAACACAATCTTAAACAACCACAATCAGAATTAATTTTTAATGAAATTTCTTGAAAAATGTTACCAAACGAAGCACAAGAAATTGCCAATCAAATATCTATTAGTAATTATTGACAATTCCAGAGTGTTCATGAAACTGGCATTTCTGCCATTAAATTCAATGCATTTTGCTCGGTACTAACAGAAAGTTTTAATATTTCTTGCCGGGCCTGGTATTCACAAACTATGGATCAAAACTTTACGGTAGCTATTGAGAGCTCATAAGATTCCGTTATTAAGTGTCAAAGAACGAAAGAAAGAAAGGACTTATGCCAGAAAATTGAAAATTTCGAGAAACATTCTAAGAGATATTTGAAAGATATTTGAGTTGTCTCATTTTGTTGAGGAACCACTATCAACTTCGCTTAGTAATTGAAACAGAGCACTCAATTGAGCACAGAAACTTTTTACTGAGGTTACGAAAATATAGGTGATTGGCGATAGTAACCATATTTATTAAACATATTTTTTATAGCCAATCAGTGTTCGGTTAAACAACTTTGTGTTTATAATTCACCAATTTGAAAAACATTTGAATTTATTAAAACAATTATATGACTGGCACATTACAATGACATACTAGGAATAGTTTGTAAATTGAGCGTGTATTGTATTATATCTAGATTTATTGTCAACCGACGCAGTTATGACGTTTCCACTTTAGCTGCTTCGGTTGAAATTTTCGGTTTACTATTAATTTGTTATTGTTTCTTTTTATTTTCAGATTCTTCAAATGAACCTAAGGTACTTCTATCTTCTTTTCAACATTTCTCATTTTCTCTCTTCACGCATCATAAACTTGACCATTATTGTAAGCTCAAAATCATGTGTAATAAAATATTTTTATAAATTGCCTTTTTTTATTTCATACACTCCATTGTGAAACGTGTAACTCTTGTTTATTTCACACATCACAAGCGCTATAATATACTCATAATTAAAGTTCTTTGGGGCATAACTAAAAAGAAAGTAACTCTGGTAACTGTTTTGGACTGCAGGGTTCTCATCACTTAAAATACCTCTAGAAACCAAATTTTAAGATTATACATACCTAAAATTTTACTTTTTTGAAGTTCTAATGAAAATCATGATAACAAACATTAACAGAAGACGCCATCACGGGTACCATATCTTAGAATGAAACCAAAAATCCTGCCCAACCCACAGAGCTTTGAAAAACGCTTCTTGACCAGATTTCACTTCGTGATCATTTACGATGAACCATTCGAGTCTTAAATTTGGAAAATAGTCATGTACTATATTTCAATTTATACGAGACCAACAGTTTTTTGTTGTTATAATTTTTTAGGTCGCATCAACTTCTAGGGTCATTAGCGACCACTATACTTTGTATGTATGGTAACTGTGAGGATGACACGATATGATGATGATGATGATGATAGGGGTGGAAACACGAACACAATATAACCATTCCCGAGGCGGGTCTCGAACCCGCGATCCTTCGAGTCGAGATCGCTACGGCACTACAGCCTTAGCGGTCTCGGCCATGCCTACCGAGCCTAACAGTGTCATTTTTTCTTTTGCCAGATATTTCCAAAGTCCAATAAATAAATGTAATAGAAAGTGAGATTTATTGACTTTTGATATCATGCAAAGCATTCAAAGTTTTGTATTTTCGAGAGAGCTAAACATTTTAAAACATTATGGAATAGAATGACGATATAATATGCAAATAACGATACATTTCTTGACAAATATGAAAATCCTTCTTTTTCCCGAAATTCAAAACTTTTTGAGTAAATAAACAATTAAGAGCTATTCGTACGATCAAAGATACTGGTATTTGTTCATAAATGAAAGGTCGTAGTATTTCAGTGAGTTGAAGCATTAAGCATGAAGTATTTTACATTCTTAGTACCTACGTCAAACACAATTTCTCAGAAATGTTTAATTATTAAGCATGTTTTCGTATAGTTCTGCGTATTATTGTACATATTATGTGTTTTCTTCCCATTTGTGATTTTGTTTACAAAAAACTGCATAATGTAATAACTCGTAAATTATGCCAAGCCATTACGATTACTTTGCCTAAAATATGCATAGCTGAATTGAAAATATTTTCAAAATTTCTAGAACAGCAATTTTTCATAACTTTTATTTTGCAGAAATAATTAAATTAAATTCACCATTGTTGACCAGATTGAGATAATGTTTGGAACTCAGAACTGCATCTCTGGTATCTCTGATACTTTTGAGGGGAGACAAGAACACTGACGGCGGACAACCAGAGTAAATAGATCTGTACCCCCATGGACGAAAATAATTATGAAACGGAGAGCCGACACTCTGTGTGAAATATCACTCTTAGCCAAGGAGTCTTCGAAACCCACGCACGCTTTTAAAGTTCAACAAAAAATACTCCATGTTGAACAAAAATAACAAATTGAAAACGACACTACGAGATTAATAGTAGCTGAGAAGCTAAAAGCGAAAATCCAAGCATGGGCTCGAAGTATTAGATGTTACAAACGAAGATTTCCGAGTACAGAATAGGTTGTTTGAAACAGACGCGAAGAGATTCTGTTATAATCTGACTTAAAAACCGAAAGGTTATGTTGTCTATCCTTGCAAACGACGAGGTCAAAATATTTGGGCAAGAATCTAGGAAGAAAGCAGGTCCTACAACAAAGTCGCATCTTAACTCGCAATCTGAAGTCGATGCTGCCGATGAACTTACGGGTCATCCTCACGAATTCTCGGAAGAGAACATCTTCTAAGCAATTAATAACATGGGATACAAGAAATCACCCGTGATTGGTAAGGTCAAGATTTATTGGATTAAAAATTAACAGCATTACGTTTTCATTTAGCAAAGGCTAATAATAAAATTAAAAAAAACAAAAACAATGTAACTCGCGGAATGGCTCTCACGCGGAATCACATATATTCTATCCAACGTGGGAGACAGTTATTTGGTGAAAAACGACAGGCCAATTACTTGCCTGCCAGTAATGTACAAAGTTATAACTGCAGCCAGAGCTGGCAAAGACAACAGGCGTCTAGAGAAAAAAACACCTGTTGCGGTTAAACAGAAAAGAGGAAAAGTTCCTCAGAATCTAAGGAAATCTTGCTACTAAATAAAGCCAACTTGAATGCTGTACGGAAACGAAAATGTTAAGTACTGTGTACTGGCATTTAATAAAATTAAGGTTATTACTGTGTACCGCGATTGGATTTTGAAGATCCTGGATTTCTATCGATTTATTCCTGGATTTATTTTGTTTTGCAAATCTAATATGAAGTAGTGGAGTACCAGGTTACTAATACACAGCGGAAAGGAAGTTTTAGAAATATTAAGTTTTCAGATTAACTGGAGAACTTTTCAAGGAGATTCCTTCTGTTCTTTTGGATTAATTTGATTCCACTGTCGCAAACAGACTTTGGTAAAAAGGCCCATGGTGATGACAGACCAGAATTACACTTGTTTTACATGGATGATCTCAAAGCGTGTGCTAAGAATGAAGCCATTCTCTCCCAAATTTTGTCTTTCATAATTGATTTTAGCATTGATATCTGCATGAAGCTTGGTCTTGACTAGTGTGCAAATATCAATTTAATGAGTGGCAAAATGACGTCAAAGAGCATTGAAGTTCCTCACTGCACACACACACACACACACGTGCCCTGTAAGCACTCTCTGATTGAAGATCTTGAGCCAAGTAAAACATATTGAAGAAAGTGAGAATATCAAAAACGAAACAGTGAAAGAGAGAATTTGCTCTAGGTCGTTTGGTAGTCGAGAACAGTTTCGAACTAGTGGACTGGTCCGAGCCAGAAGTATGAATCATGGATAAAAACACAAAACTGCTTACAATGCATCTTGTCACCCAACCGCGACCTGATGTACAAAGACTTTATGAGTCACGTAAGATGAAGAGGCCTCAAACAAATAGAAGCATCCTGGTTTAAAATAAAACTGATACTAATTCATTTGAAATGTCTTGTAAACTCTAAAAAAATATTATTGAATACAGTGAACTTGTTCCTGTAAAATATTGCATTTACAAGAATCAAGCCGCTTACGAGAAGGTTTCTTTCGCGCACTATGCGCCGTTCGCCGGCTGTATTTACTTTCGTACTTCCAAATTTAGTGAATAGACGCAAAGCGGCCATATGGAATTTAAAACATCCAAAACCCTCTGAAGTACATTTTATCGCCCCATTAACAAAACGCTGTCATTTTGCAGCAGAGATGACTGCATGACATGACTAAAACTTTAGAAAATTCGAAAAACCGGTTTAAGTTAAGCAACTTGTAGAACTGGTCGTAAACATGAATTCTTGTTAGGATGGTGTGTGACATGTATGAAGGCGGAGTGACACTTGTACATTTGTTCAGCAATATATGATTCTTAGTACTAATCACTGACAAGACATAGAGCAAATATTTAATACTGATAAGATAAATGATAAATATCCAGATTAAAATCTTAAATAAACTAATAGCAATCACACAGATGAGATAAAATATGCTAGTAATGGAATCCTACACTGATGAAAGCAAACGCTACATTTCCATGCAGTTTATCATCATGAATATTTTTATCAAACATGCCCTTCATGAAGCCATCTCAAGTTTTAAATACGTACGACAAACGCCTGTTAACGGAAAAATAAGATTTTCCTTCATATTGAGAGTCAAATTTTGAAGAGAAGTAATACAAGCTTGAAATGCAAATAACGCGTTGCATCTACTCAACCTCTTAGAGGCAATCAACAACAAACGTATTCACGGACGGACTCCCTAACGGTCAAACAGTATTTCGTCGGCAAAAGAACTTCTGCGCCGTACTGTTACTCGTACCATTTTCCGAACCCACGTCGCGCACACAGCGAATCCCTTATACGAACTCGTGGCCGCCGTGAGTGTGCGATTTCGCCACGCGAAAGCAACTGCCGCAGCACGTGGCTGGCGGGCCGGTCGTGCGCCGCAAGCGCCGTTTACTCGAGGACGGCGCTTTTGCTCGTCAACTTTGAATAAACCGCTCCAGCACGCATGCGCCTGGTAGCCTCCCCCCACATTGTGATCCATTGTATTCAACACAGCTGTGGAAGGGAAGGAGGCGATCTTATCCGACCTCAACCTACGTTTCCTACGAGTATGGAATGCTACGAAATGTTTCGTGATGATCCCTGTCCGTACGCTTTGGGGCCAAATCTGAAATGGATGGACGGATGAAAATAAAGATAAATGACATTAATGATTGAGCAATGGTGGATTGGAAGGGGAAACGGGTGACCTCCAAGAAATCCTACCGCGAAACCGCTTTGGCCACTACAAATTCCACACGGATTCATCGGGATTTAAATCTCGGTCCCAGAGTTGCAAAGTGAACCCTCTAAACGCTACACCGGAGGTCGATTGAGGCTACGGGATTACGAAGTCAGTGTAAATTTCCTTGCACACTCATGTCAGTGATTTTTTTTACGCGGCTGAAGGAGCGAATGAATATTCTTGCGTGCACAAGCGTTCTTGCGTTCCTGGAAAGGAACTACTGCTCAGCCCCGCAGTAGTGCAGCCACGTCCGCAACTCCTCCAGAGATGAACCCAGACTCCGGGTATTTTTTTTTCCAAGTTATTGTCAGCTAGACAGCTATCGGCGTTGGGTGAATCCCTCGGAGAGCGAGAAAAATAGTTCATATAGCTCTGATATCTAACTTACCTGCTGCGGATTAACATTTTCGTCTGCACAGAGGGCAGACGATGCAGAGTATAGTTATTTGTGTAAAAACAGAAAAGTCCCGCGATTGGGCCGCGAATCAGATTTTCAACATAACCCAACTTTCAATCCAGTGATATCCAACTTCCGCCGTACAAAGGGAGCTTCGTATGTCCTAAGTTGACTTTTTTTGATATCTTCTTCGATGAGTTTCGTTGATAGATTAGTGATTCCGGGCTAAGGTCGTTTGTCCTGTAAGTATAGTACATGTTTTCCCGGGAGGTGGCGGAGATCTTCCCCGGATGAGTGGTGAGATTCGGCGCCGACCTACCATCGGGTAGCGAGGTTTCCCCAACCAGGTGTCTTCCACCAGTGGGCACCACGCAGCCGGGACAAGCTCACAGCTCCCGACCGGTCTCCCTGCATGTGTGGTAGCGCGATGCATGCATGTGCAAGTGTGTGTGTATAGGGTGAGGATAGGACAAGGAAGAGGAAGGAGATATCGCGCGCGGTCGGTGGCCCGTTTGTTAGGGTACTGCACCGGTATTCCCCAGGTGTTGAAGGCACGGAAAACAATCGATCAGAGCAGCCGGCCGCTAGAAGTTTCCTTCGGACAGCAACGGACCTCCACCTAGCTCTCTAGCCAGCGTCGAAAATTCTGCCACCGTCCGGACTCAAACCTGGCACCCCCCGGTCAGAAGCACTGCAATGACATCAGCTGATGCTCTGAGCCACCTCTCCTAGCCAATGAATACTAAAAGAAGGAAAACTTAACTCGATTCTTGTTATTAACTTAACATGTAGTATCATTGTCTAAAGGCGTTTTGTTCTCTGACTGACAGAGCACAACTTGCTCATCCTACCACGCTTTCACGACCCCAGCCCTTTGAAACGAGCCAGGAGCACAACTACCTCCCAGCGGGGTGCCGGCCAGCCCGTTGTCCTCGCGTGAACGGTGCTTCAGCCGCGGAGGCCGGTCGGGCGCCGTTAAGTATAGCTCCGCGTCCTTATGCTAATCGAAGGCGGCGCGGCGCGGCGCGGCGCGGTGGCGGCGGAGGCTGCGGGCGCAGTGTTTCGCCTGAGCAGGGCGCGCGGCCTGGCAACCGGAACGCCCACGGCTCCCCGCCCCGCCCCGCGCCGCGCAGCGCCGCGCCGCACACCCATTCCGCACGCCCCGTAACGGGCGCGGGAGAAAGTAGGGAAACCGCTGCGGCTCCGCGGCGCCCCAGCAGCGCAGCAGGCACAACCGGCCGGGGCGACGCTAATGGTGAATGATGTCCGGGAGTAATCATTCACGATGTTTGTGATTACGACGATGATAATACTGTTGTTGGGATGAGGGTCGTACGGTAAAGATTTTAATATTTTTGTTCTTGTGGTATGTGCAGTGGCTATAATAATAATAATAATAATAATAATAATAATAATAATAATAATAATAATAATAATAATAATAATGGTGACTGAATTGATAGCGTTAGTAATATTGCTCTGGTAATAATAGTACAGCTGGTGACAGTGATGATGATGGTGATGGTTAATGGAGATGATGGTGACGTGGGGATGTGGTCAGGGTGTGATGGTGCTTGTATGTGTTAGGAGTGGTTATAATGTGACGGTGGTTGGTAGGTGGTTAGTGGGTTGGTGGAATGTGATGGCAGTGGTGATGGTGATGGTGATGGTGATGGTGATGGTGATGGTGATGGTGATGGTGATGGTGATGGTGATGGAGTAGTTGTGGCGCTAGTCGTGGTGTTGAAAGCTTGATCTAAAATATAACGGGTATTGTGAGAGGTAATGCCTGACATTTACGGGCAATTACAAGGCAATGAATGAGATTTCGAGATGCTAGCAGTAATATTGCCAAGGGGATGTAACACTTTTACGGGGTGGTAACAGGATGACATGTTACTCTGATTGGCAGCACGGGAAGTGGAAAAAAGAAGGTGGAGTAGGATGGAGGAGGTCTAGGGCTTAGTCCTTAGCTTCATCTACCACGTATTCGTTATTTCTTCTAGTATCACACAGATATTCGAGTGCCGTTTCATAAGCATTTACTTCTAGAAACCACAGTTACAAATTGTTCTATCTTCACAGAATACGAAGTTTTAAATCCCATTACACCAGCAGACTAGACGATGGTACCTTTGTCATGAATGCTTCCAATCATCCTCGATTCACTTCCGATAGTCCTTATGTCGATCTTCAGGTACTCTTATACCTCATTGTGTACATATTTTGTACTCTTCACCTCATCTTCATTTGTCAACACCTGCACAACATGACATTAACATTATTAATTAAATACCTACGGTACCAACCTTTGAATTTAAGGTGGTGAAGAATTATCGCGTCAATTGTATTGTTCCAGTTTACTCCAGCATTCTCTCTCGACGAGTTCCTCTTCACGGTCACTACAATATGGATAATTCCATATTTCTAAAGGATCTTTAACGGCCTATTTGATACTTTCCTTCTCGAGAAAAACTCTCTTTGCAAGGTTTTTTATGAAGTATTTCGTTTCTTACGCATTCGCATCTACTACTCGCTAAATGCAAAACAAATTGCATCGTCTAAACGCTTGTGCAAATCCTGCGTATCATACGTGGGTTATTATCCCTTGCAAGTGATAAAAGAATCGTAAGGATAACATAAATTTAAGAGAATTAGTGATTAGATGCGATCAGGGTGGCATTTAGAAAACATATTTTTTTATTCCTGCTTGAACCGTGAGTTTATAGTTTACATCAAAATCACTCGAAATCGCCCATTGCCCATCTTCTGCTACCCACCTCTCTCTCTCATTGCCCTGTGACTCTCGGCTCCTCTCTCTCGGCCCATCGCCCTCGACCCATCGCCATCGACCCATCGCCATCGCCCCATCGCCATCGACCCATCGCCATCGACCCATCGCCATCGACCCATCGCCCTCGACCCATCGCCATCGACCCATCGCCATCGACCCATCGCCATCGACCCATCGCCATCGACCCATCGCCATTCATAGCTCATTCCAATAGTCCTTTCCGTGTAAACGCTCCACAGCCGATTTATTTATTGAGTTTCTCTTCGCTACGCATGGAACTGTACATAGTGATACTGCTCAACACCTACAACCGCTAGGCCTCCGCCGCAGCCACCCCTCCGCCGCCGCGCCGCGGTGCTTTCTCGGCGCCCGCGCAGCCTCCCGCTTCCCCCGCCCTCGCCCAACGGCGCGGCGGCGGCGGCGGCGGCGGCGCGCGAGGTGCGAGTGTCGCTGGGCGGGGCGGCCGGCGACCGGTGGGCGGCGGCGGCGGCGGGCGAAGGAGAGCAGGCGGCGGCGGGGCGCGCACTCCAACCGCAGCCTCGCCATGGCCCGCACGCGCCGCTCCGCCGCTGTCGCCGTCGCCTTCGCCCTGGTGCTGGTGCTGGTGTCGGTGCTGGGCTCCGTGCTGGTAGACGCTGCCCCCGTGCCCGCGCCCGCCGCCGTCGCCGTCGCCGCCCCGGCCGCCGCGCCCGCCCCGCAGGAGATCCCCAAGTGTGAGTGCTTCGCGCGCGTGCGTCCCTGATATGAAAAATGAACGATTGCTCTGATACACTTTTTTGTTGTCTTTGATTGACTTTTGTAATTCAATACCCTTAAATGTAGTTTGACACGCAAAATTAAATATAGTTTTCATTAGTTTAGAGTGGACGTTTCGTACATTTAATCAAACCTTTAGCCCGGTCTGCTCGGAAATGTTGCTAATTACATTATTTATTGTTATGGATTACGTATAAAGGAATCCAAGTCTTAATATTTGAGGAAATTAATTTAATTTAGTTATGTAAAATATAATTTATATCTATATCATGTGTCTACCATAACGTTTATTTTGTTTCTTTTCAAATGCATAAATAATATGGGTAACAAAATTTCAATAGACAGATTACACCAGGTGAACACATTATGAAAAGAGTGACTGACAGATTCATTTCATCAATTCGAACTTTCTCAATGGTACAGGTGTGGTATTATTCCTACTCTGCTTTCTAAAAACATAGTCAATATTCTCTATTAATAATTTCTGAATAGTAATGATGTAGACAAGGACACGTTCATAGTGGACCCGGAGTACTGCCTGACTCTGTTTTGGATATATATTTAGTGAATACTTTCAGTGGCATCTACAAACTGCATCTTTTGCATTTCAATAAATTTTATTTTTTAACATTTATATATTTTTTTAATAATACCGCCGTGTCTAAACGTGAGCAGAACTGAGTTTATTGCTTACGGCGCCAAACATTCAAAGAACAGCGGACAGGTCGATTTTCTGAGAGAACGCACTTATTGCGCCCACCGAGGCAAAAAGCGCATCTACATTCCGGGTATCGAGGCAGAAGAAGCGCCGGACGAGCTCCGTGGGCGGGGAGGATGAGGGAGGATGAGGAAGGGGGAGGGGGAGGGGAAGGGGAGTTCGTTGAATCGAGCAGGTGCAGTGACGCATCTTCAGCCTCCAGCGCCCACGCGCGCACCCGCCCGGCCACGCCTTCTCGCCGCCTCTGCACACTGTCTGTCTTTCTTTACCTGCAGCCTTCTGCCCCGTGCCTGTACGTCTCTACTCCTTGCCTGTCTCTCTCTGCCCATTGCATGTCCCTTGAGCAGAGGGGTCAGGCAATGGGCACATTACCTGTCCCTCTACCCATTGTCTGACACCCTTTGTTCATTACCTGTCCCTTTCTGCCCATTGTCTGACCCTCTGCTCATCGCCTGTCCCTCTATACTTATTGCCTCTCTCTCTCTCTCTCTCTCACACACACACACACACACTCTCTCTCACTCTCTCTCTCTCCTCATTACCTGTCCCGTTCTGCCAATTGCCTGACCCCTCTGCTCATTACCTGTCCCTCTTTTTCCATTGTCTGACCTCCTCTGTTCATTTCCTGACCCTTCTGCCCATTGTCTGACCCTCTGCTCATCGCCTATCCCTCTCTACTTATTGCTTATTGCTCTCTCACTCTCTCTCCTCATTACTGTCCCTCTCTGCCAATTGCCTGACCCCTCTGTTCATCGCCTATCCCTCTCTACTTATTGCCTGTCTCTCTACTCATTACCTGTCCCCCTCTGTCAATTACCTGACCCCTCTGCTCATTACCTGTCCCTCTCTGCCCATTGCCTGACCCTCTCTGTCCATTAGGTGTCCCTCTCTATCCATTGCATGTCCCTCTCTACCTATTTCCGATTCCCCTCTGCCCATTGCTTGCCCCTTTCTAAGCAAAGCCTGTCTCCCTCAGCCCTTCGCCTGTCCCTCTCTCCCCATTGACTCTCCTTTTCTTCCCAATAGCGTGTCACCCGTTGCTCATCGCCCTTTTCTCAACGCGCATCGCCTTCTGTCCTTCGCCCGTCGTCCTCTCCTCCGCTTGCGTCCCGCGGCAGCGGCGGCAGGGCCTCATCGCCAGGCGCCTCACGCCGCCGCCTCCGGAGCGGGGCGGCCGAGATAACGCCGCTGAAACGTGCCTCTTTGTCGTCTGGGCCTTTCGCCTCGGCCGCGCCGCACTGAATATGTAGAGGCCGGGGCGCGTGGGTTCGAGCCCGAGCGCGGTCGGCAAAAGGAGTCGCCGCCGCCGCCGCTGCCGGAGTTCGCCGGTCGCCCTTGGCATTTTATTCTTTCGCGAAGGCGCAGTGTAAAGTTTCCTGGGCGACATATGACGCAGAGAGGCCTGAATAACGGGAACGTGCGGTGGCGCGTCCGGTCGACCGGGGATGGAGTTAATCCCTGAGGTAATGAATAAAGCGGACGTCTCCAACGGGCTACTTTCGTAACATGAGGCGACACATGTTGCGACACACGAGGAGAGCTTCATTTGTGTGTAGCACGAGAATCGATACATTAAAGACTGTCTTCTCTGGTCGCTGTATTAATTTCTTCGGGTTTCTGCCCGATTCCAACGCCAAATGATGAGGGACACATGTCCGAAATTTTCTATTCATAAAATGTGAAATATGTCAGTTTATAAATGTCATGCAACGAATAATACTTTAATTTACAAGTACGTATCAGCTGATGAACACATTCCACGACGAAGAAATCTTTTTAGCGGAATATTTCCGTTTGACGTTCCATTTGACGTTTTCCATAATCACTTTATTTTTATCCGATCCAAAAATTCCCATTCGGCTCACTGGTTTACCATTGTTTAATGCAAAAATCACGGGAGATTTATTGAGCATTTCCATGCTTAAAGTTGTTTTTTCCTTACTTCTAAAGGTTGAAATATATAATCTGCTCTCTCTAAGCTGCTTCGAAGTCCGTATATCAGCGACTTAATGGAGGCGGAAGGCTTAGTCACCAGAGGCAAGAGAAATTCCAATCGTGCGATTTACGACGTCTGTTCAGCGTGGCCAGCATTTGTTATTAGAGGTGTCTTGGCCAATGCACAACTTGTCACTCTGTGTTTCGCAATTATATACAAACCTTAACCTCTTGCGACATATTCTGGCAATCAGGAAAAGCACAAAGACATCGCGTAAACAAGGTTTAAAGTTTCTTGATTATTAAGACAATGCTTCAGAATTTGAAAATCACTAAAAACGTTTTATAATTCGACGACAAATAAAAATATCATTTTTATCTCGTTGGTTACATTGTTAATGATGTGGGAACAATCGTGTAACTGCACGTCGCGAAAACTGTAAGTTACATGCTAGTCCGTTCACTTTGTTTACTCTTTACTCGTGATACAATGATCAATGCCCAAAAAAGGTGGTTCATAAAACT